TGACGCAGTGTCATGAAAAATTCGTGCTCAAGTCGAAAATATTCATGGATACACAACCTCACTACCCATGCTACACAGTAAGGTCAGTTTTTCCCCTGTATTTATTCAGGAGGGGTAGTGTGCTGCAGTGAAATTTTGATCGCCGCTACTGAAATGTTCCATGATCATCAATGTGCTGCTAATGTTTTCACTTTGCTGTCAAGTACATTCTATAAGAACCTATTTTATAAGTAGAATCAGAATCATTAAAATTGAAACAGTACCCAACCCTAGTGAAAACAGGGTGTGTGTGTGTATTAGCTGGTTAATAAATTCACACAACTAATGCAGACAATCTCCAGGGTTTGTGATTTTCAGCTCGATCCCAAACTTGTTACAGTGTGTCCAAGAAGCAGCTTCCCGTTCTCTTCAAAATACGTGCCTACCCTGCTTTTGACATCAAGCTGCACAGAGCAGATCGAGCCAGGTAGGAAGTCAAGACACATCAACGACAAACTAGAACAAAATCGGACTTCTGAAACTCACAGGGTATGAAGTGCAGAAAATGGAACAAAACTGCTTTGTATCAGCCACACACAGTGGAACACAAGGTACCAACATTAGATTTATCCACACACAAAATATATAAAGAATGCTTTCAGTCCTATGTGGAGACAATTTAGTGCCACTCATTTACCTGAACTCATCACCAAAATGGCGGTTCTGAATGTAGCAAACAAACATGTATTCCTCTTTGTTTTTACAGCCGTGTCCAGTCTCACCTCTCCAAGCAGGTCACTGTAGAAGATCTTGAACACTTCATAGAAGCCAAACTTGCACAGCCCCTGCATGGAGTAGCCGATGAAGGTGGGAGCCCAGCCCTTTGCCAGGCCTCTGACACCATCTTCCTTCACAGTCACTGCAAAGCCTTTGCCGATGCTCTTGTACTTATCTGGATCTACCTGCGGAGGAGAAGAATATTGTGAGGAAACATGTCAACGGCAGCTCTGGGTTTTGGTATCTCAAACACATCCAAGAACATTGGTTCCCTACTTAAGTGCTTTGGAGGGAATTGCATTTTCCCAAAACTGTAAAATCTAACTGCCCTGAAGCACATTTTTCTAGACTGCAATTTAGGTTTTAAGTTATATCAGCTTAACAACTTTTTAAATGTCATATTACTGTCAAAATTACATCACCCTGATGGGTAATGTGTTTGGATGACCTATAAATTGTCAATAGTAAGAATTCAGTGTGATGTTTTTACAAATACAGTTATCACATCTGTCTGGGTCAAACTTCAATAATCAGCAACTGAAAGTTGCAATGAAAAGTAATGAGACTGACAGATTAACTATTGAATTTTATTGAATGCACAGTGCTGCGATTTCAAACTACTGTACTTTATGTAATTCACACACAAGCAGCAATTTCAGTTTCATTTGGTTGCTGTTATTTAAATGATATTCTATAACGGTCCATTCATTTTTTTCTCTCCACTGTATTTTAACTAACACTTATCACTATAAGCGGTTTCCACCGTATAAAGCACTGGGCACAGGATCCAGACAACTCCAGGACTTTCCAATTTACAAGCTTTTTAATTGGGGCTAGAAAAATTAATTCTAGGGAAGGCTACAGAAACACTTGTTAAGTCATTTCAATTTTACAACACTAAAGACCACACAAAGCCATGGGCCTGTGAGGTTGGAGGAGCTGTGGTAATTGTCATTACTATGAGGTTCAGCTTCCATACAAACCTGCAGACGGCACTTGACAAGGTCGAGGGGCACCACTGCTGTGTGTGTGATGCCGCAGCTCAGGATACCCCCAAACCCACACAGGGCATAGTACTTTGAGGACCCAAACTCACAGCTGATATCCTCTGTGGTAAAAGGGAACATACATGCAACATGCAGGGTCACATGCAACACAGGACACAAAAACATCAAACCAGAGCCACATAATGGAAGAGTTGCACAAGAAAATCTACTTAACCCTTCTTGACGGGTGTGTGCCCATGTCCCACCTGTGGACAGTTTGAATTCAGTGCCAGGTCTCTTCCATTATAGATGGGACGTGCAGCTATTCATTAAGATGGACCACACACCAAAGGCTGATAAAATTATTGTATGTGTGATTTCAGCATGAATTTCAAGTGATGTTTGGCAAGTCAGGACTAAAATACAATTACTGCTCACTTTTCCCAACACATACCACTGATTTTTAAGATTTGTTTCCTACCTTACATGCAACCACTGGTTTCAATTCCTCAGTAAACTACGCATGTTAGTTTACAGAGATTTAAATCTTTCCACAGATAGCTCTTTTTTATAATGTTAAAAACACTCAAATGAATGAACAGTTTTGCTTGTCATTACTCTGTAGTTGAAAAAAAAAACCCACTACAAAATGACTATCGTCTTAGATATGTGTAAATAAAATTACAGAATGTCATGGTTGAAACCACAGATTACAAGCAATAAAGGCATATTTTAAATTAATTTTACCACCATAATTACCAATGTCTTATCAAATGTACTTTCAACTCTTTGTCTACAACATATTCTTACTTGACAGTATTAGGTTGTCTGGTAAGGTCAGACAACCTAATAAGATACATGGTAATGCATCTCATAGGTCATCTAGACATTCAGACAATCCTGACAGACACCTGATTGTGTTAAATAGTTTGGTCAACAGCTCTCCTGACCTTCAACTACACGAGTCCTCTACTGTAAACGACGGGTTGGGTACAAATCATGCAGTCATGTTATCACTCCAACACAGAATCATAACGATCCATACACAAAAAAAACAAAAACACCACCTCACAACTGAGCCGATGCCATTTCTCCCATGCAAAGTAGTGCATTTTCAATGGACAATTGGTTAAGAGTGGATGGGGTGGGACGTTACAAAAACAAGGCACCATGCCAAGAAAACAGACCTGCATTCTGCATTTGACCAGATCGAGGGGAACGACAGCCGTGTGTGTGGTGCCACAGCTCAGAATCCCACCAAAGCCACACATGATGAAATACTTCTGTGAGCCAAACTCACAACTGTCTCCCTCTGAAGAAACACAGGGGAGACTTAGGAAAGAAGAAACTTTTTCTTCGGATGCAAATGCCCAAGAGTTTAAAGAAATCAACCGGTTAGACGTTTGACAATCCAAAAGCTGTACTGTTAGGGAGACAAGTGCACTTACATTTACTCATTTAGCTGACGCTTTTATCCAAAGCATCCACACATTGGTGGATGGGTCACAGTGAGGAAATGAGCGCTCTCTCACACCAAATGCGTCTTATTCACTGTGCCGTCGCCACCCACTTAGGCCATAGTACCCTTCAAACCCCTAAATATATGCACCTACACCCTAAATCTTTTATGCATTATCTTAAATAGTTGTTACAACACCTTAAGTAGCAAGACATAACTAAAGCATCAGAGGAACATCTGCACCTTGATCTTGCAGGGAACGAAGTTTGACGCCGTTTTTTCCACAATTAAATAAAATCAATTTGTCTGCAGTGTTTAGAGTCTGAATCGCTATTGACAATATTTAAAAAGAAGTGGGTTTGTGCATTCTGTCCTTTGTAGTGCAAGTAGTGACAATCCTGTTGACCAATCAATGGACTGCAATATTTCTAGCTTCATCTTTAAGTGCCAGGCCAGTGCTAGGCTCCTCAAGAAGGGTGTAATGGAATGGTTCTATTTGTACCATTCACAACTTATGCTACTAGATCAGGGTTTCTCCTGGCTCAGAATGGGCCTTTTGGGGGGGGGGGGGGTATTTGCTTACAAATACTTTAGTTAAGATTCAGCTGTTTCACAAATAAAACCTGATATTAGCCTACACCACTGAGGTTAGGGTTTGATTAGTGCTAATGTTAGTGTATTCATTATAATTTCAGATCATAGTACAGGTTGCTATAGCTTACCATTAGTAGCCTATAATTTTAATTCCAGTTGGACAAAACAGCAGTTTAATTTGTGGGTCGTTTTCATTAAATTGTTGTGTAAGAAAAATGCTCTACATGGTGTTCAGGCTCTGATTTGTGTATGCAAATTACTAACTTGTCAGTGTAACCAAAAATTTCTCTAGGCAGAAAAAGCCCTGTAGATTAAATTAACTGCTCAGGGAAACACAGGTTTAGAGACAACTTATTTTACCAGTCTTGCGCTTATGCAACATAGTGATTTAACTTTCCTTCCTACAACTGGTTAGTTAGATTTCAAAGCAATGTAAGCCTTATAATGTGATTATAGTCAAACTATTGAAAAGGTCTCACTACTGTTGTGAGCTAGCTACGGTGTTTAGGATGAAGCTCAACTTTTAAATGCAAGGGAAAATACTGAATAGAATGGCTTTATGACATGGACTTTATTCCACAAGCTAGTGTTTTCTTCCAATAAATGTTCTTTGAACTTTATCAAACCATTATAAATATTTAAATCTAAGACAAAGTGTTCTTGACAACCGCTATCAGTTTGAAGTCACGACTAAAAAATAATAATAATATAACTTAGTTTGTCATTACGTGACTTAATTAGCGATTCCCCGCTGAAAAATAGCATGATTCTCATTAAATCCAATCCAAAGTAGTTTGCTGAGGCGCAAATGCAAGTATCACTTTGTCCTTCCTTGCCCTCCACAGGCGGCTTGTATGCGGCACAGGCCTAGCAGCTAACTGCTCCAACAATTAAAACAATTACAAGCGTTTAACGATAACTTATTGCACACAGGCAATTGTATTTAATAAAAATAGAGTAATACTTAACGTTACGCAGCGAAGTTGGCCACAACCTGTCAAACTTGATCGGCTAGGCTAATGCGGCTAACACTAGCCCTTTAGCCTGCCGACTAACGTTATGCGCAAAGCTTACCTTCTGCGGCGGCGGCGGCTGCCAGTCTGCGGGCCCGCTGTCCATGAAGGTTCTGTTGGGGTTCCTCCAATTTCTGGAGGGTGAACATGGGAGCGCTGAACGGGTTGGTCCGGGCCAGCTGCGTCAACGAGGTCGGATACATGGTGGTCTCGTGTCTCCTGGCGGAGCTGTGCCGTAATGAGCAAAAAGTTAGCTGTGCATTAACGGTTTTAGGTCGAGCTAACTAGCAGAGGTGACTGGTAAGTTAACACAACACACACACTAAACTGAGGAATGTCACATGCTGGTTAGCTTAGTTTGACGGCTGCGTGACCGTGAAAAGGAAATGCTAAGCAAGGCCATCTAATATACTACCTGAATAATAACGTAACGGGTTACGTTAACTGTTACAAGTCACTGATAATCGGTAGCCAAAACCTCGAAGCTCCCTGTTAACATATTCGTGTCGCATTTCCTTTGTTCATTTCTAGCTGATGCCAAAATGCTATGCTAAGTTAACTTACGTGCTAAGCTAACTTGACCGCTCCAAGGTGGAAGCTCTTCTCTTTATTGGAAAGCAGCTTAAGCAAAACGGCTAACAGAGGTAATAGTTCATTTAAAATGCATCCTCCTTAAATAAGCATAAACGTAATATTTATTACACAATATTTTAAATGAATAATTGCACTCACTCTTTCAGGACTGAAAACGTTGACTCGGCTTGGCTGTAACCGGCTGCTGTGAGAGGCCGAATGACCTCGCGGTAAATCGATTTGTCCTTTCGTGACGTCACCGACAAATCTGGGCGGTACCGACCGTCCATTCGGAGCTGTCAATCAACACCCCTGGTCCAATCACAAAAATAGGTTAATGATTAAATGAAGGCGATGCGGTCTGTGGTATGAATGATGATGATAGGAACCGAGGGAATTCTATCAACAAACATTATGCTTTCCCACATAAATGAATGCTTGCGTGTCTGGCAACCATGAAACAGAGGAGAGATGTGTGTGAGAGAAAATTACTCCAAATGACAAACCATGAAAGGAAGACTAAGTTGATTACCCGGTGACAGCTTCTTCTGAGAGCGAAGCCCCCATTTAAACAATATTATGTAGCTGCAGTACCGGAAGTCGCAGTTTCAGGACCCCCGCAATCCTGGGAGTTCTAGGACCGTAGTTCTTTGTGGCAGCGCCATCTAGTGGAGTGGTGGTGATAATACATAGCAACACAAAGCAGGTTTACCCTGTCTGCCAGTAGGCCGATGTACGCAGCTGTACGCAGCTGTAGGGTTAAACGGTTGTAAATTAAATTGTAGCATCCCCGGCTGAATGATGGTCAACGCTTTTACTGATGGTTCACAAAGGCTTTATTCAGGGGGGAAAAGGACGATACTGGAGCTCCATAAACCTGAATACACCTTGAACTACTAAGAGCTACGAAAGAAAATAAAACAAAACATTACTCTCCTTTTACATTCCAATCATGAAATATCGCCTTTTTTAACCTGTTAGCTTAGTGACAACCTCTGATCAGAGTGCTATAAGTAAGCATAATAAACTTAATTATGAAATATTGGTAGCACTTTATAATAACTACACACTATGAAGCATTAGTAAATAAGGAATTCATCATTTATAAAGCATTGTTCATACTTTAATACACATTAGTAAGTCATTCATAAACACAGTTATAAATGGTTTATTCTTTGTTATCTACACACTATGAAGCAGTTGTTAAGTATTAGTACATTTTTAATTCATCATTTAGAAAGCATTGTTCTTACGTTAATACACATTAGTAAGTCATTTATAAACATACATGTTGTATTCTTTATTAATAAGCTCATCTATCATACTTTATACATGATCGGTTCACTATTTATAAATGAAGTGTTGTTTTAATGACAAACCATTTATATATGAGTTGTTAATGGTTCATAAGATCATTTGTAAAGTCAGGGAGACTGGCTTACCTCTATTGACCTGAACTTTCACGTTCCTGTCATCCCCGAACACAGGAAGTTCCTGTGGTTCTCCTTCCGGGGTGTCCAGTACCAGTACAACCGCCTGATGTTCATGCTCCCTGGCACTGCGCACTTTCTCCAAGTGTGTCGAGGCGGCTCTGGAGCCACTGTGGCGGTTGGGCATTAGGGTCCTGTTTTGTCATGTCGACCCAGTGAGACAGAGATAGCGCCTGTGGATTTGAATCTGGCCTACTGGCGGGGCCCCCTCTCTCTTTCGGTCGGGGTTCCCCTGGGCAGGGTCACGTCCCATATCTCGCCTCCCTGATGGGCTGGGGCAGGACCTGTCTCTCTCAAGTGGTAGGCGGTCTGTGGCAGGGCCACATGCCTCTCCACATAAACGTGCCAGAACTCCTCACGGTGTGGAAGGTGATCCGACACTTTGCCCCTCTGCTGCGGGACCAGCACATGCTGGTCCGCACTGACAATAGGGCTGCAGCGGCCACCAGGGCGGGGTGCGATCAGCACAGCTGCTGGGCTTGTCAAGGCGCATGCTTGTGGACAGGGGACTGGCGTTCAGCACCTACACTGCCGCAATCTCGTCCTGTCACGAACACCGTCCTGTCACGAGGCTTTTAATGACAGGACGGTGTTTGTCCCCCTGATAAAAGGGGTGTGGAGGCACAGGCCAGTGACACGGCCTGTTGATCTACAGTGGGATTTGCCGCTGGTCTGATACATGCAAACCCAAGCCCCTTTTGAGCCTTTACGGCGAACTTGAAGTTTCTTTTGGCCAAGGTCGCTTGCTTGTGGCTCTGAAATCGGCCAAGAGGGTCAGCGATCTGGCTGCCCTCTCTATGACTCCATCGTGTCTCAGGATTCAGGGTGACAGCAGCTCAGCTGTCCTGTGCCCCAATTCTGCATTGTCATAAAAGGCAGTGGCCTGGCTGGCTGGTCTTCTGCTGGTGGCTCGGTCTGCAGAAGGTCTGGTAACTGGAGGCTCTGCCAGTTGTGAGCAGGTCTGGTCTGCAGACCCCTGCTGGTATGAGCAGGTTGGGGTTTGTGGGTCCTGGAAGAGAGGTGTGGAGGAGATTGTGCCCTCTGGGGCACTCCCAAGCCCTGAACCTCCAAATATTTCATCCATGTGCTGTGAAGAGAGACAGATTTAAATCAAACGTTGTTTCTTGTTCTTCTATCTGCTCATTTGTAAAGCACTCAGTGTATAAATTGTGCTATATTAATAAACTTGCCTTGCCAAAAACTGCATGATTGAAAATACACTCATTCAAATTATCAGGACAGGTACAAAATAAAAGACATTATTATACATGTGTAATACTCCCAATTGACTCTTGCCTCTCCTGTTGTCTGCTGTCGGTCTTTAACCCTTTTATATGTCGTTAGCATGTTCCCAACTTTCTTTCTCACCTGGTCCACTGTCATGATGCATCCTTTAGGTGCCATGGCATTTTGGCACAACACATGGTGGTGTTTTTTCATTAAAGACAGCAGAAGCAGGGTTGTCCTATGTTTAATGTCTGTGAAGATATGGTTACAGAAATAATGTCAAGAGAGTCAAGATTGTACTGCTCAAATTACTTTCTCATTTTTGATTTGTTATTGAAACTGTACCTGGTTGGGACTATCTAACTGAGTTGCATCTTCCACAGAACTGGGGCCTGCAGACTGGGTCAGGGGCACCGGGCTCAGGCCTGCAGACTGGGAGGCTGGTGACAAAATGAAATCAGGAGGCAGGGTAGATAATGGTAGAGTTATAGCATTTTTTCAGGATACATTAATTATTTTAAATTTTAAAAGCATATATATATATAAAAGACTAATATAAACACAGAACACCTGTTGCAAGATGACATCATGAACATCATCACATTAGGTAAAGTCAGTACACCTGTTTCACAACACCAGATTGTTCAACTCATTGTGGACAACAGCCACAGCTGTGTTGTGTTTTCATGTACAAAATATGAGTGTTAAATATGTCTGATTTGCAAAATATAAAAACACTGACCCCAAAATATGTTATTCTAAAATATTTTCAGGCCAGACAGAAGTTCAGTTTGACACACATGAAATTACTTCTACGTAATCCTTCCTTTGAAATCACAGGGCAATTGGTTAAGGTGTATAGAGGAAAAGTCACACATGGAATACCTGCAGACAGCAGTGCAGTATTTTTTATTTTTATTTTTAATTGAGAACCAGATTTGAGAATAGGAAACTGTAAGAAAAGGCCACCATACAGGGAGAAAATAATCAACTTCTTTTACGACACTCCTGAACTAAACTGTGTTGTAAGCTTTCTAGTTGGATTTGCTAACAGTGTCCATATGTAACAAGTGAGCTGCCAAAAGGAGGAAATACATTGCATCCCCTTCAGCAGAGATAAGATCTGAAGCTCTTTAGGATACAAACAACCACTCACACTCACATCCACACCTAAGGACAATTTCAGAGACACCAATTAACCTAGCCTGCATGTCTTTGGATGGTGGGAGGAAGCCGGAGAGAAACCACACGGACATGGGGAGAACATGCAAGCTCCACACAGAAAGGCCGGGGTGACCTTGCTGTGAGGATAGCAAGATGTAGATGTAAGCGCCTTTCTAGTCTTTTTGACCACTCAAGGCACTTTTACACTACATCTGCATTTACCATTCACACACATTCACAGACTGAGCCTAAGTGCTCAAACATAACACCCATTCACACACATTCATACACTGGCAGTGGGGGGCAATTCAGGGTTCAGTATCTTGCTCAAGGACACTTCGACATGTAGCTTGGAGGACTGAACCGCAGATCTTCCGATTAACAGCCAACCCGCTCTACCTCCTGAGCCACAGCCGCCCTGTGTGGGTGTGTGTAAGGATGTGAGTCTGCAACATGCATTTTACTGACGGCCGTTTTACCAATGCATAAGCGGAGGAAATGGTATCAGAAGTCTGTATATACAGTTCAACAGAGTAATAGACCTAATAACAGCAGCTAGTTAGCTTGTTAACTAGCTTCAGCAACAAGTAAAGCTATCTGTCCATCAGGAAACTCTGTGAATCACAGAGTTGAGGCACACATCAGAGAGAAAACTAGAAATATATTTTCTCCATATTTCTCCATCAAATATGATCCAGTTTCAACAGAATCAGTGAAGAAAGTTGTGTTTTTGTACAGTAATCATTTAAACATGGATTTTGGGAATAGGAGATTTTTTTATTCTCTGTTTCTCTAAAAATACAGGTGCTGGTCATATAATTAGAATATTATCAAAAGTTGATTTATTTCAGTAATTCCATTCAAAAAGTGAAACTTGTATAATGTATACATTCATTCCACACAGACTGATGTATTTCAAGTGTTCATTCCTTTTAATTTTGATGATTATAACTGACAACTAATGAAAACCCCAAAATCAGTATCTCAGAAAATTTGAATATTGTGAAAAGGTTCAATATTGAAGACACCTGGTGCCACACTCTGATCAGCTAATTAACTCAAAACACCTGCAAAGGCCTTTAAATGGTCTCTCAGTCTAGTTCTGTAGGCTACACAATCATGGGGAAGACTGCTGACTTGACAGCTGTCCAAAAGACGACCATTGACACCTTGCACAAGGAGGGCAAGACACAAAAGGTCATTGCTAAAGAGGCTGGCTGTTCACAGAGCTCTGTGTCCAAGCACATTAATAGAGAGGCGAAGGGAAGGAAAAGATGTGGCAGAAAAAAGTGTACAAGCAATAGGAATAACCGCACCCTGGAGAGGATTGTGAAACAAAACCCATTCAAAAATGTGGGGGAGATTCACAAAGAGTGGACTGCAGCTGGAGTCAGTGCTTCAAGAACCACCACGCACAGACGTATGCAAGACATGGGTTTCAGCTGTCGCATTCCTTGTGTCAAGCCACTCTTGAACAAGACACAGCGTCAGAAGCGTCTCATCTGGGCTAAAGACAAAAAGGACTGGACTGCTGTTCTCTGATGAAAGTAAAATTTCAGCCAGTACCTGGTTTAAGGACCATGGTATCCCTGTTCTTAATTGGCCAGCAAACTCGCCTGTAGAAAATCTATGGGGTATTGTGAAGAGGAAGATGCGATACGCCAGACCCAACAATGCAGAAGAGCTGAAGGCCACTATCAGAGCAACCTGGGCTCTCATAACACCTGAGCAGTGCCACAGACTGATGGACTACAGGCCACGCCGCATTGCTGCAGTAATTCAGGCCAAAGGAGCCCCAACTAAGTATTGAGTGCTGTACATGCTCATACTTTTCATGTTCATACTTTTCAGTTGGCCAACATTTCTAAAAATCCTTTTTTTGTATTGGTCTTAATTGGTCTCTTATTTGGAATTTTCATTAGTTGTCAGTTTTAATCATCACAATTAAATGAAATAAACATTTGAAATATATCAGTCTGTGTGTAATGAATGAATATAATATCCAAGTTTCACTTTTTGAATGGCATTACTGAAATAAATCAACTTTTTGATGATAATTATATGACCAGCACCTGTACAGAGCAGAAAACATCATTGATACTTCTCTTGTCTTCATTTGCCTATTTGGCATTGAAGTAATCCAAAAGTAACTAAAAGTATTCAGATTACATTACTTTTATTTTGTGGTACTTGGATTACGTTTCTGATTACATTAAACATTTAGTAATTGTACCAGATTACATTTTTAAAGTAACCCTCCCAACGCTGTGTACAAATCAACAGCAGTAAATATTGTGCTAGTACTACTATTGAATTATAAGAAGCAAGACAGTTGCAAGCCTTTAATTAGTAAAGCTTTTGATGGGACACTTAGGTCCTAAAGATGTGGTGACAACAGCTGCGCAGAGTAGGCCGAATTTGAGTTTTGGTCATGGGGCCCAAAATTCCTGGTGGCGCCCCTGCTGTTTAGTTTTGACTGGGGACAGAAAGCAGACCTTCCCCAGACGACCTGAGAGGTCTGGATGGTTCGTAACGAAGCAGAAGATCAGAAATGTATTTTGGCCCTAAACCATTTAGTGCTTTGTAAACTAACAGCAGGATTTTTAAATCAATTCTTTGGCATACAGGAAGCCAATATAAAGATCTCAGAACTGGAGTGATGTGATCCACTTTTTGGTCTTAGTGAGGACTCGAGCAGCTGCGTTCTGAATCAGCTGCAGCTGTCTGATGGATTTCTTAGGGAGCCCTGTAAGGACACTGTTACAGTATTCGAGTCGACTGAAGATAAATGCATGGATAAGTTTTTCCAGGTCCTGCTGAGATCCTGCTGAAGTCCTTTAATCCTTGATATATTCTTCAGGTGATAGTAGGCTGACTTTGTAATTGTCTTAATGTGGCTCCTCAAATTCAGGTCTGAGTCCATGACTACACCAAGATTTCTGGCTTAAATGTCCTGTTCCTGTTACCAGCAGGTGGCGCTATGACTGTGGGTGAATGTTAGTATGTGGATGTGTTCAGGGTGCGACTTTTATTAAATGTGTAAAATACGTACCACAGAAGTCCGTACACATAGGTGAAACTTTGCCCGGGGCTGCTCTGTAGTGGGCGATAGCGAGCCATTTTGCAACGCCCATGCGCAAAACCCATAAAATACATAATGTTTCGCTGCATCTGAATTATGTGGAAAGTTTGGTCAGTTTTCGAGCATGTTTAGGCCCCAAAAATTGAGATTACTTTGCAGGAAGAAAGAAAGAAAGAATTCAGTTTCAGTAGGGACCTTGCATGTTTCATCTCAACACATACTCTCATGCAACACAAGTTCTCATATACAGAAGACAGGTACCTATATAAATACGGTATACACATTGACGGCTTTGTTGATGTTATAAAAACATTGAAACTGCCTAAACTGACCTCATGCAGACAGCCAAGCACTGCTGTTAAAAGATCTGTATATTTCAAGTAGCCATTCATTTTAGTACAAATGAAAATCACCTTGCCGACACTTGCTTGTGTTAGGTAACTCATCACAGTGAACATCATGTCTAGCCAACATTTATTTTTTTGTCCAAGACATTATGCTGTTATGTATTCAGTACCACACAGACATGTTTCTTTGACAGCTAAAGGAGACATGATTCAGCGAGTGTGATGGATAAGCAAAATTAAACACTATTTAACCTCTATAAAGTGCCTATGTGTTTTAGTCTTATGTAGACCTGCATTGTGTGCATTTTCAACACACTTCTCAGCCTGGTTTATCCTGCATCCCTATCAGTTCCCCAGAATCAGTTTCCCTGTAGACAGACATGTTTGGTTTGTGTGTAAATGCACACACCACAGGAACATGTGAATTTTCAGTGATATGATGAAGGATTGCAATGCTGTAAAATATTTTTAGAATTTAAGAAAATGCAGCTTTTCTCTTTATCATGACATTGAATGGTCTTTGACTAGTATGTGTGATAAACATCCGTCATTATTTTATTCTAAAAATATACTCAATCATTAATTAATAATAAAAAATAAAAAATGTGTAGATTGACTGATAATGAAATAATAATGAAAATAATTAATAAAAAAAAAAACAATGTGATAATTCCAAAGATTCCTTTAGATGCTGGTGCAAAGAGTGAAATCAATTAGAAACTTTAAATTCCATGTAGGTACAATGTACAGATTCGAAATTAATTAATTAATTAATTTATAAGTTCAAGTTGGTAATAACCAAAGATTACTTTAACCTAAAATAATTTAACAGAAGTAAATTAGCACTCAAAAGTTGTGACAAAGTAAAATTACACATAATGAATTGAATGAAATGAATTGAAAACCCCCCCCCACAAAAACAAATCAATTCAATCTTAAATCAAAAAGATTTGTTAAAGTTTAGTTGCCTTGACATTTTTAAAAATGTTCTATTTTTCTGAATACAATGCTCTTACAGGTACAGTAATACTACAATAGTTTATTGAGTGGATATTTGATATTTGACAGTGAATATATAATTAAGTCAAATACACAGATACATTCACTTTTATTAGAAGAGAATATTAAGAAAATACTGGTATAGGCTTTAACATTTATAAGCATTTGGATTATATAATAACAAACCTCCCTGTCTCATTAACAAAGATGGTCAAGTAAATTACAAAGCAAAATTACAGGTTCAACGTCTATCTTCAAGGTCTATAATGACTAACACAGACATTAAGCCAAAATGTGAAAAACATATCAACCACACACATTCAGTACAAACAAACACACTCACATAATACAAGTATGACATAAAAAAAATAACATGGCAATAAAATGCAAGTCCAAAAAATGTATGAGAGCTACTGTGTGTTTCTGAAAGTTGATTGTTGGCTGGCTTTGTTGTAACCTCACAGACTGAGTCAAAGATCAGGAACGGGCAAAGCAACGGCAGAGGTTATGTATTGTCCTTCTACAACGTGCATTGAAAATCCTTGGGAGTGTCACTGAAATGGCAACATCGCTTCTCTTAAGGGATTGACTGAAGAAAATCTTTAGGACAAAAGGACAAAATGTCAGAGGTAATTTCATAGCGCTTGTGAACAAAATGGTTACAATAAAGACTCTCACACACATAAAAAAAAGAGAATACAAGTAGGTAAGCTCTTTCGCCCTTCCTGTGCTCTCTATGCTGTGCTGCCGCTGGCCACTTCTGTGTTTGGGGCTGTAAAAGGGTTGATGGTGTTGGTCTCCATGACTTGGTAAACCAAGAATAGGAAAGCAGCCACAATGGGGAGCAGGAACAGCTTTATCCACAGAGACATGCAGCGGTGCACTGCTTTGGTCTGACTTGCAAGGGGAGCTGCAGACAGATGCCTGGAGAAGGAGGTGGGGAAAGAGGAGGTGGAGGGCGGCAAGCTGGTGATTCTGTTGACAGTGCGGCTCTCTGTGTAGGAAGAGGACGAGGAGCTAGTAGTCTTGGTGGTTTTTAAAGAGAAGAGCGAAATTTCATCATTCCACAGGTCACTGGACTTCAGCGGGCGACCAGCTGCTCCTCTAATAGGGTGTCGACAGGTGGCACTGCAAGAGACAAGGATTTTACTGACATTGTTTTCTGAGGGGGAGGGAAACTTTTTTTTATCTCTCAAGACACAGTGCATCTTATAGCTTCCATTCACACCTGAAGTACATACAGCACTTTACTAAGCCTGAAGTGATCATTTCTCTTCTTGTCACAAAGCACTCACAATTAAATAATGTATGATGAGCGTTGGTAGCCCAAACTGCAACTTGACCTCATCTGTCAAACCTGGATCCTACATTTCATTCAATTTTTAAAAAAAAAATGGAAAAAGAGAAAAGAGAGCACTAGTACTGGATTTGTATTTGTGAGTTGAGGTACAGGATTAGTAGAAGCAGAGGAAAGCTTTCCTACTGCTACTGCTCAAGCTTTCTTATTAATGATGAGGACCTTGGACTTAATTCTGCTCCTAAATAGCCGATCTAGACAAAATAAGACTCACATTGACCAGACAACAGAATTCAGAGACTGTTGTCCCCACATTGTTACAGAGACCTGCCCCATCAACATCCTGGATTAAGCACTTGGCAGATGGTCCATGTTCCAAGCTGTCAGTGCAAGATTCCAGCGAGATGAGAGGAAGTGGACTTTGTGTTTTACATCGATGATGCTTGGTTCTCAAACGCAGTCAAGATGTTTCCCCAAATGTCAGACTGTTTATTGTGAAGATGAAACTTTCATATTATCATCATCATCAGGCTGCTACAGAAGCGCACTGCATTCACCAAAGAAATAACAAATAGACGCCTTATCTCATAATTACAAGATCCGGATCTCGTAATTAGGAGATAACTGGAAAGTTCCATTTATTACTGAGTTCAGTAAAGTTGGAAATATATTCACAGACTTGAACTTCCGGGATCAATAAATCATAAGCAAAACGTGTTAAAAACACAAACGACGCCTCTTTATTATCGTAGTTAATAAGACAAGAAGCTACAAGTACATTTTCACATAAATGAGTTGTCCTACCAACAGCACAAATAACATCGGTCTCTATGTGCAGCCGGCTGTGAGACGAGTGCGCAGGGACCGTCTACAAAGTGCAACACCAAAAACACATACTGCAGAAATGTTCAATAACCTCACACTTATACAATGTAGTGCCCCCCAAATCACCTTACACATTAATGATATACTGCTAGTTATACTACAACACTTAGTTTGGGGGGGGGGAATGACTTTTGCATACCTAATGTTAGGTAGGCCTATTTTAATATTCAATAACTACACTGTTATAAGATCCAGTATCACCCCAGGCATCACTGATCTCATGTTGATGATACTACAACACTTAGTTTGTAGAAATATTGTTTTGCATAATTTTTCTCTTCAATAACTTCACTTTTAAGAGTTTTAAAATTATGCAAAACTATATTTCTACAAATAAGGCTAAGTGTTGTAGTATCACAAGCAGGATATCACTGGTGTGTGGGGTGATACTGGAGACATTACAGCTTATAACAGTGTTGTCATTTGTGCCACTCCCAGGATGACTCATTTATGTGAAAATGTACATTTGTGTTTTTAACACATTTTGCTTACGAGTTATTGATCCCGGAAGTTCGAATCTGTGAATGTGTTTCCAACTTTACCGTTATCTCGTAATTACGAGATCTGGATCTCGTAATTATGAGATACGGTGTCTATTTTTTTCTTTGGTGAATGCAATGCGCGTCTGTAGGTTGCTGCAGTTCTCAACCCAGATACAAATTCAAAAAAATGCACTGTAGAATGTTTGGGGTGTATATGTGTATGTATGCATGTAAATAACTGTATATATTGTTTTATTTTATATGTTACCATATTAATATAGGCTTACACTTAATTATATGTTGTGTGTGTAGCATGAAGGAACTACAAATTTTGTTTTGTTATGCAGCCTTGTGCTGTATAATGACTAATATAGTACCTTGTACTTTGTACCTTGTCTCTTGCGAGTCCCCCAACATTATGGAAGTGCAATGATTTATTGCTGGAGCACCCCTTTAAATGTTTATTAAACTGTCAATCAAATTTTTTGTTTATTTTTTTCTTCATTGAACCTTTCTAAAGTTAACATCTCAATGTATTTACAGGTATTTATGTATTTATTTACATTTCAGAACAGTTTAATTGTGATTCCTCTACAGTTAGCTCAGAGGTTGAAAATTAAAAAAGCTGGTTACAGCTTCACAAATGTGAGGAATTGCTGCTTTTGTTGTGTTATCAAGAGTTAGCATTATTCAAACTGTGTTCACACAGAAAGTGGAGCAAATTTTTCACAGTGCGATTACATACAAAGTTAAGACAAAGGCGTGAATAGATGCAAATGATGCAAAATGCAACATTCTTCTTATTATTATTATAGTATTTGCTTGAGTTGAGTCGCTTTGCAAAGTGTTGTGTGGGGAAGACTGAGTGGAGTGACAGAGTCGCTGTTCACCAACAAGCAGCAGCTGAATGACAGGGAGAGCCGTTTTCTGGCAGGAGGAGCTCAGAGTTCTTTTAATTTCTACTTCTGGAATTAAAAAGTGGATTTATCCTCACTCTCGCTTTTAAGACACCGAAGTTCCAACCTCCACTGTCATAGACCAGACAGAAATGAAGATTCCTTGGAGAAAAGTAAGGAAGAAATACCTGGTTCTGAAAATGTGTTTCTCTTACATGGTTCCAGCAATGGTACTTTACTATGAAACAAGTTAGCATAACATAGCTCTGATCGATCCGAACAGCATCCTTTTGATATTTCATTGCAATTAAAGGCGAATATTCGTGGGTTGTGTTTATTCGTGCAAGCAAACAAAAAATTCCAGTGGTCAAATTTGCACGAGCAACCCAATTACCTTTGCTTTCTGAGGGAACACACTGTAAGGATATTTGACTGCTGGGTGAAAACATTAGTCTCTGTTAACTTGTGATCAGCATTTTTCTTTTTTTACTTTCTAGACCATTAAAAAAGCATGAACTAATAACAGAAATAACCACCAGGTTACTTACGTGATTCCTGTTGGACTGTTATTAGGGAACAGCTCCTTTAGAACATCATTATCCTCCACTTTCAGGCTGTGGTCATTGGCTGTGATCTTCTCCACCTGAAGACAAAACAACCATGGAGAGCATGATTAAATGAGCCAACACCAACCATTTATGAATACATCTTACCAGTGAAGTTTGTCAAAATCATTCTACCAGATTTTTAAAAAATAGACTCCAATGCAAAGTGGAAATTCTCACTCAATACTTCACTACAATCAGCTGTAGGTGCATGTTTGGACCTGCAGAGTGTCCCCTGCCTAATATTAGACGCCTCTCACCATGTGACCATTTCAAACAAAAGGCCGGAACCACCAACATGTTTACTATTGAGCACAGTCCCAGCAGTGTAACAGTCTACCTGTCTCACTATAACACATCCCTGGACAGTGTGGATGTCTTGCCAAGGGTCTTCACAGGGCTCCATAATGACAAAAGGCTGGTGATTTTCTGCTGCCTCCTTTTATGTAGCAGGACATCTTGAAGGTCACACTCCTGCTCATAAACCGTGTGTGATTGTGGATAAAGGATGTTTAACGAGCCAACAGTTCAGCTGTCACACAATTGTCCCTGCAGTGACCCTCAACAGCTGCACACACAATTGACAATTCATCATTAATAAACCTAAGTACCACTCAGATACATGTGTCAGTGAGAAACACAAGTGACGGATAGAAGAAAAGAAGGAAATGCAGCCACAACAGATGTATGAGTAGAGTTGTAGCCCTGGTGCAGACACCAGCAGGCGAAGTCTCTTAATGGTTGAAATGTTACACATTGGGGTTAAAGGTGACATGAGCCGCGGTTCCACCACAGAAAACTATACCCTGGAACTAGGAACCTATGGAGGAACTCACTGCATTTCCACCGCAGAAACCAGGGTCTAAATTTAGTTCTAGGGTCTTTATTTTACCCCCCCCCAAAATAGTCCCTGCTCTGGGTGTAGTACTGAGTTACGCTAAATATTGGGTCCGGAGTTGTTGTCTTAAGTTTTCATCAGTCAGTGGGTTTCTGCAAAAATCGCCGTTTGCAGACACTGTTCTCCTAAATTGTCTCCTAGCTCACCCACACTATATGTTTCTGACTTTATAGAAAAGGCAACAAACAATCTGACCCACTTTTGATTGTTTGTCACTTGTTTATGAGAAGGCGATTAAGCTAGCTGCACCTAAATTAAACAAAATAAACAAGCCTAATATATGACGTTAAAGACTGCATTCTGTACACATGTGCACCGTTCAGAACATCCTGTACCAAAACAGACCGGTACAAATACATGTACCGTTACACCCCTAGTACACATCCATATGCCAATATTCACTCAAAGTCAAAGGAAATTACACGTTTTACACTATAATTTCCTAGCAGGTTGGACATATCAACGTCAGAACTGTCCCAGAAAACCCTTAACACTTTGATGAAGCCATGTTGTAAAACTTGTGAGTTTGCAGTTAATGGCATGGGGGTGGCATGGCGGCAAAGTTCCACGATTTGTCATGACACAGGAAGTTGTTGTAACTTTAATGTACATGCTCAGATCTCTGAAAACATGTACATGGCGACATTCACCCACAGTCATTGCGCCACTTGCTGGCAACAGGAAATGACGTTTAATGAATTAATCATTTTTGGATGATTTAAACACTCCGTACTTAAACAATCCTCCTAGGGATTTAGTCCGACCGACTTCAGATTTTTGCTGAGCAGTCTACACCCATTGACGATTAAAAGTTGTACTTGACGATGAATTTTCGTGGAATGGCGTGGTGTGGTGTTCACATGCTCACATCTGCCCCAAATTTGATAAGTAGAAAAAAAGTCCTGCTCTGAACACATCCATAAGCCAATATTCACTCAAAGTTAGAGCCACCTGCTGGCAATAGGAAATGACACGTTTTATGCTGTAATGTACTTCTCCCATGTTGTAAAACTTAAAGGCGTGGCGGCAAAGTTAAACTCTTCGCCATGACACAGGAAGTTGTTGTAACTTGACTGTACATTATCAAATCTGTACCGGATTTTACATGTTTGATAAGAGTCCCGTCCTGAACAAACGGCTGAGTTTTGGAATAACCCTGTAGTTGGCTTGTTGAAGAGCTGTTTCTTACCACGTGGTGCTGGCTGCTGCGGGTGGTGATGGGCGTATTTCCTGAGCTCCTCAGCGGTCTCTCTACCACAGGAGCTGGTTCAGGTTCGGCCTCAGGCTGTGGTGCTGCAGTCATTTCTGACAAAACACAGTACAGTCACACACTGCTTCTTGACGGACATATAGGTTGGTTTAACACACGTTAGGTTATTAAGAACAAATGGTTACTTTACATTACTGCCAATCATTTTCTATGGCATAGCACAGATTTAATTTTCATTTCCTACCCTCCAGGCAGGCATTAATTTCCACTGATTTAAGTACAGTAAAGAAATTTGCTCAACAAATCATTAACCCACATCCTTGTTGTCAAAGATACATTAGTTAATTTTGAATGAGTTCAACATGTTACAGATTACTGTAGCACATTAACCTTTTTTAAATGTCACTCTATCCAGGCTGTGATTGGTCTGTTGATGAAAAGTGACACTGACGGCTTTATTAAGCCGGGATTTCACCTGGTGGGCTGGTCCTTACTATGTTATGAACGATTTGCAGTAGAGCAAGGGGTAGATTTTAGCCTTTACACTGTACTCATAAATCATCTTTTCAGTTTCCACATATCTTTATTTATCCCTGATCAGAATCTAAATTATAATTCATTAATGTCACATTATTCTGCATGTCATGATTTGTTTTGTTTTTATTTGTTTCCAATGCACTGTCACATTTTGATTTTACCAAACAGGCCCAACCCTGCTTAGCTTCCAACATCAGAGAGACAGCAGAGACTCTGACATACTTCCTTGCCAGTGCATTTATCTTTAATGCAAAAAATACTTTTAAGACATCCACGTGTTTTAGGTTTCAGTTTTTCAAAAACACAGGCTGCGTTTCCACCAAAAGGATTTGGGGCTTTTAGTCAGTATCTACTTTTAAAGAACTTACAATTAATGTGTGCGTTTCCACTGGCGCACTGGCCAGAGGTCGGGAGACAGCTCTACATTATTGCGCCCGATATATCTCCTGTGGAACCAGGTTCCAGTTTGGGTTCAGGAGGCAGACACCATCTCCACATTTAAGAGTAGGCTTAAGACTTTCCTCTTTGATAAAGCTTATAGTTAGGGCTGGCTCAGGTGAGTCCTGAACCATCCCTTAGTTATGCTGCTATAGGCCTAGACTCCCGGGGGATTTCCTATGATGCACTGAGCTGCTCTCTCCTCTACTTTCTCTCCCTCTGTATGCAACCTCATCCCATTATTGCATGTTACTAACACAACTTCTCCCCTTTCCGGTAGTCTTGTGCTTTCTCGTCTCTCTCCTCCTATCACTTCCTGCAGGTGTTTCTGGCTCTGGAGCTGTGGAGTCTGGATCTGTGGTTGCGGGTCACCTGCTGCCCCCGTGTTCCTGCTCGGCACCCTCTGCTGCAACGACTATTGTTACTAGTCCTATTGTTATTATTGTTATTATAATCATTAACATTACGATTGTTATCATTAACACTACTATAAATATCTGTACCATTTTTCATTTAGTCTATAGCAACATCACCTTTACTGTCTGTACCTCTGTGTGTATATTGTGTAGGCTGCCTCCCTCCTCTCTCTCTCTCTCTCGCTCTCCTTCCATCCCTCTCTTTTTCTCTCTGTTCCTCTCATGCCTTCTCTCTCTCTCTCTCTCTCTCCCTCTCTCTCCTTCACCCCAACCGGTCGAGGCAGATGGCCGCCCACCCTGAGCCATGGTTCTGCTCGAGGTTTCTGCCTCTTAAAAGGAAGTTTTTCCTTGCCTCTGTCTCCTAGTGCTGCTCTTGGTGGGAACTGTTGGGCTTCTGTAAATAACATCATAGAGTACGGTCTAGACCTGCTCTTTTATGAAAAGCGCTGTGAGATAACTGTTGTTGTGATTTGGCACTATATAAATAAAAGTGAATTGAATATTCTTCACTTCCTGTGTCCCCTATGTGGTGCTAGAGAACTCCGGCTAATTATATGTTGTTTATTATCAATTTTTGACACTATGTCGGCCACGCTAGGCCCTGCAAGCAGCGTTCGACGGGCCCTCGCGCTGTGACACGCATTTGGAGGTGATGTGGCCACAGCGTAGCGGCCGTATTGTCAAGAGACGAGCCTCTGAATTATCGCACTTTTTGGACTGGTCTTAATCATGATTTCATGTGTCCAATGTTGTGCTACAGAATACCCGCTAACTATAGGTTGTGTACCAGTAAGTGAAGTGTGGACAACATTGAGAAAATACCACGTAAATTGAATGATTTTTGTCACAAAGGGTTTACTTCCTGTTGCCAGCAGAGAGTGCTATAAGTATGACGGAACGTTGGCCTTTAGATGTTTTCAGGGTGTGCCCCCTATCAAACATGTGAAATTTAGTAGAGATATGTAGTATGTACACTGAAGTCACAACAACACACACAGATAAAGAAACTTTTCATTGTCAATGCCTTTAGATTGCACAGCCAAAATTTGAAGTCATTAAATTCAAAATAGCCGACTTCCTGTTGGTTTTAGGGCATTGCTCCCATAGGCTTTTTTGTAGATCTGGACATTATACATTTACTACTAAAATTTTATACATTTTGAAAAACTATGCTGCAATTTAGGCGGCGCTAGGGAGCCATTTCAGAATCATCTTTATTGCCAGGTATGTGTACATATATGAGGAATTTGACTCTGGATTGTACATTGCTCACGCTGTGCTTACTCAATACAAAATCACAATAATAAAAATAAAATCAGACACAGACTTCAGTGTAGACAACACAAATATACACACTATGAACAAAAACAATAGACATATTGACAAATAGTGCAGTGAGCAGAGTGCAAAGGATGCAGGAATAAATAAGTATTTTGTGCAGGAGTAATGTCTTGAAGTAGGTGGATTTGGTATACAGTATCTACAATATGACAATATCACAGTATGAACAGCACTGAAATAGAAGTGTTAGCCAGTAAACAGGTGGCTGATTGGAGGCAGAGTTACTGGGTTATTGCACATGAATTGTTCCTGACACCGCCGATTTTGCCACGCCCATGTACGAAAATGTATGACTCATAAATTGCCATGGGACTTGAATTGTGTGGAAAGTTTCGTGAATTTTCAAGCCTGTTTAGGTGGCCAAAAATGCGCTTAATCCGCAGAAAGAAGAAAAAGAATTCCTTCAGTTTCAATAGGTTCGTCGCATGTTTCATGCTCCGAAAGAAGTATTATGTTACACGTGCTACACTGGATGTTGTTTTACGTCATACGCACAGCGACACAGACAGTTACCAGCTATTGTCACAGCCATACACACATATACACAATACGGCTGCAGCTAACAATGATTGTTGCGTCGATAGATTATTTCAACGATTCACCCAATGCGTTGTTTAAGAAGTACTTTTGTTTGCCGGCGGAAACATTACTGAGTTGTTGTTTTCTTTAGCTTGAAATAATCCCAGACTTTGGACACTTTCTTCTTTGTATTTTCTCTCTCTTCCTCCATTTTGCAAACAGCGCCATCATAATCATGTCGTGTTCACAGCGTAAGCGCGATGTGCGACAGTAATAAATGTCCCTGCGAAACACTGTGCAGGGACAGCATCGCAAATTCTTTGCGTCGATGCATTTTATTTATAGATTTTATCGAATCGTTTCAGCCCTAATATACAAGCCACAAACACACCAAAAAAACATGTCGTAGGAGTGGAAGTTCTTCACTACTAGTGAAGAAGAAACAATGCTCGCGAATTACACCTGTAGAGAAACACTTGAGAGACGCCATCTTGTATGAAGTTATAATACGCAGACAAGATGGATATTTTACAAGCAGGGACCAGGTAAAGCGAGAGTGAACACTGTTGGTACCGATGTTATTCAGTAACACGGTGGGCTGGATCTGTAATAAATGAATTAGTAAGTAATAATAGTAATTAAATCGGTAAAAAAATCTGTTTGAGTGAGAGAAGGTCCTGTAACCTGCTGCAGTTTCAAGAAAATATTAAGTTATTTAATAGTCAGTGTTTTATAATGAACATACAGTTGAATGGAGTTAAAAAAAAACAATGCTAATGGAGATCCTACTAAAGAGAATTTTCCAATAAAGAAAAGTTACAAAAAATGTGTATGCTGTCAATTATAGATTTTAGAAAGAAAGAACTGGATCAAATTGGAATCGGCAGGTCAGTCAGAATAAATAAATAGCTAATCGGACAGGAAGAATCTCCAATTTGCATTAGAATGTCCTCGAATACAACAAGTAAGACTTTTCATTGGTAATGTAACAAAAATAAAGACGATTATTTTTATTTTATTTTTGTATCATGAGTTACCAATTTGCACCAAGTTTCAAATCCTTGCAAGTTGATTTTCATAGTGGACTAGAACTACCGGCTGCCTAAAAGAGGACATGAAACTGAAATGGTACAGTATGTTTTGTAAAGTGGTTATCAGTGTAAACAAACCCCCTACTATGCTGCCTAAATAATACTTCTCATACAATATGCCAATACATACATTATATTTGCCCTTACCGTCCTCCTTGTCACTGTACAGGTCTGATTCAGAGTTGCCATTGTGGCTGACTTGTACCTCTGTGAGAACCAGCTGTGGCAGTGGCGGCTGTGCAGGACCGTCATCCAGCAGCTTCTGCAATTTCTTCTCATACAGCTTACGGGTTGATGCTGGGGGGATGAGAGGAGAGAAATTAAACCTGCACAATATGACTTGACATGTTAGTGTCTCTGAATGGCAGTGAAGGGAAACACCTCAATAACCGGAAATACTCAAGTACTGCATTGAAAAAGTTAAGTAAAAGTATGTTATTAGGCTATAAGCAGGAACATGTAGAAGTAGCTTATTAAAAATAAAAGTAGCCTACTCAAAGCAGAAAGAAAAATAAAGTTGTTTATCATTGATCTGTGCTTGAGTTGAATGAATCCTATTATAATTTTAAGAAGTGTGTCTCATATGACTGTACTATTAGCCTATATATCATATGATTATGATATTATATTATTCCTCATGCATTAATGTAGTTGGTTGTGGTTGAACTATTTTTTTAATCAGACTGCTATTAATGATTATTTTTAGTCTATTGTAATAATTTCTGAAAATAGTGAGAGAGCCCTGCGTGACACCTTGCATGCTTGTTTTGTCAGTCCAAACCTCAAAATCAATAAAAATACATTAAAATAATAAAAAGTTAAAGCAGCAAATCTTCAGGTTTGTAAAGCTGGAACCATGAAATGTTTTACATGAAAAATGACTAATGCTAAATCACATGCCTTTAGATTGTACTGCCCAAATTTAAAGATATCTCTAAGGAGGAGTTCATTAAAAGACGGAGCCTGTCAACATAAACACATCATATTCATGTGTTAGATGTCCGGGGCTGCATGTGCACCACTCTGAGTGGATCAGCGTGTGACTACCCTTTGCCGAGAGGCGTGGGTAACCCACTGAACCCCACTCATGATAGGGATTGGGGATTGCAATTATTTCCCATGAACGAGGAATTCCCAGTAAGCGCAGGTCATGAGCTCGCATTGATGAAGTCCCTGCCCTTTGGACACACCATCCGTCAGGTCTGTGGCTCAGGAGGTAGAGCGGGTTGCCCATTAATCAGAAGGTCAGCGGTTCAATCCCCGGCTCCTCTAGGCTGCATGTCAAAGTTTCCTTGGGCAAGATACTGAACCCCGAATTGCCTCTGGTGGGCTACTGAGCCAATTTTCCACAACCATGCCCACGGTAGTGACTGATCAATCACAAGGTAGTCCCGCCCAAAGCATATGCTGCATTATTGTCTTTTTCCCCCTAAATAGGACCATAATTTACTCAATGAACATCATGTTGCATTGAAGAATACTGTATAGTAGTAGTATATTGAAACTAGCGACTGAGAGTTTTTAAATCTGTGCACTGGTGAACCAGTACTGATGTGTACTGTACTACAGGTTTAATTAACCTCAACTGTGGAGAGCCAGACCTTTATTTGATACAGGCAGAAAATTATGGTAAAAATATGCTAAAATAAGTGAATACATTCATATATTTGAGAAATGTCCAACAAAATTAGAATACTAGATTGTAATTTAGAATTGATGTGTGGGTTGGTATGTTAAACTAATTGTCCACATTCCTGAGTAATCATTTTCACAATGGATAAATTGACTGTACCTTGTATAGTGTTTTTCTAGTCTTCAACAATTCAGTTGCTGTATGAAGTGCTTTACACTACATGTCACATTCACTGATGGCAGAGTTTAAGGTGCCAACTGTGGCAATGGCATCAGGAGCAATATTGGGTTCAGTATCAAGACACTTTGACATGCATGACATGAACCGCCGTTCTTCCAATAAGTGGGCGACACGCTCTCCTTTCCAAGCCACAGCTGCCCCATGGGTCAAACAAAGCATGCTATTAGGTAACATGTCAAGCCACTTGTGTGTAGCACCAACACACGACATCCCTCAGTATGCATGAAGTGAAGTCATATGTGCTGAGGGCAGATGTTACCTCAGTGTTTAACCTCATACAACCCTGCTGCTGTGAGCACTCACCCACAATTGGCCCCACATCCATTCCGTTCTTTAGCAGTTCATCCTTCAGGCCCTGGTTGGTCAGCATCGTCACATCCAGCTCGTCTGGCTGAACTTTGTCCGTTTTCCTGGTGGCTTTCTATGGGAGGACAGGACAGCCAAGTTGGTAATGATAAACCGTACTCAGACAAAGGATAGTTTTGTCTTCAGGTACCGCCTGCTAATATAATCCAATGTTCATTTCTGACACTCTTGGTTAAAGCACAAACACTCAATAAATTCCATTTATATAGCGCCAATTCATAACAAAAGTTCTCACTGCATTTGATACAGGTATACAACAAACTCTTACTGTAATATTATTACATTCTAACAGAGTCCCAAAAATTCCCACCATGAGCAAGCACTTGGTGATACAGGCAAAAACACAGTAGCACAATGCAAGTTCCAAATAGTAATGATAGCAAGGGCAAAATTAATCATTACCTATATGTACTTGTAATATATCATTTCCTTATGTACGTAATTTTCCATCAGGTGTACCAGTGTTTTGATACAATGAAATTTTGATTGTTTTGTCTTGTGCAGACTCCATTTCCATGACAAATACGTTTCCACTGTGGCTCAAGGCTGAGAAAGTCTTTCTCCATAGACTCCACAGCTATTCTCCAGCATTAAATGTTTTAGTTTCTCTTAGGATATTAAGGAAAGACTATTAATTGTCTCTTATTATGTCAATCTCTACAGCATTTTGTCTCTACTGGGATGTTGGATGATGGTATGATTCTGTTTTTTCAAGCAGGATAAGTCAATGATACAATAGCCGCTCAGTTTTCACCCTAAGTGGACACTGTCCTGCTCTGCTCACATGTTCACCTCAAAACATCCTCCGGTGAACTCGTGCCTTTAGCTGTCAAAGTAAAATCTCTAAGAGAAAAGCTGTGTTTGTCGAGCTTTCATACAATTACAGAAACCCATTTAGCAGGTTGCTAATTATACCCAAGGCTATCCAAAAACTTAACTGAGTGTCAGAATCAGCTATATTGCCAGGTATGTGTACACATACAAGAAATTTGACTCAGGATTGTACATTGCTCACAATGTGCTTACTTATACAACAATAAAATCAGACACAGGCTACAGTATAGAGAACACACACACACACACACTAAACAAAAACAATATAGACAGATTGAGACAATAGTGCAATCAGCACAGTGCAAAGGATGCAGAAGTAGATTATTATTATTATTATGTACATGTCAGAGGTTGCTGCTTGATGGAGATTGGATAAATCACATTTGACAACCACTCGTCACCTAACTACAAATCTGAATTAGACAACGGTGCGCCATGAGCTGCAAAGCAACTGCAGGATGCTGAGTTTCTTATTCATTTCTTTTTTTCTGCAATCCTGACTGTCCGTTGTGGTCTGCTCCTGTCTTTTTTGGTGGCAGATCCAAACCAGACAGTGATGGAGGTGCAGAGGACAGACTGGATGATGGTTGTGTAGAAGTGGATCAGCAGCTTCTTAGGCAGGTTGAGCTTCCTGAGCTGGCACAGGAAGTACATCCTCTGCTGGGCCTTCTTGATGATGGTGTGAGTGTTGGGCTCTCACTTTAGGTCCTGGGATATAGTGGATCTCATAAACCTGAAAGATTCCATAGCAGACTCAGGACTGTTTAGAATGGTGATGGGGGGCAGAGTGGGGAGGCTCCTCCTGAAGTCCACGATCATCTCCACAATTTTGAGCGTGTTAAGCTCCAGGTTGTTCTGGGGTTCTGGCTAAGACAAACCAGCCGCTCCTCCTACCTGGTAATGTTACCTGCAGCCAGCGAGAGAGGAGGAGGGACTGATCCAGACTGTTATTCTTCACGTCACTCACTACTTGTGATTTCAGATAGTTAGTTATTGAGTTACTTTGTTGTTGTAAACATTAAAGAGGTGGTATTATGCTTTTTGGCTTTACCCCTCTACTTTATTGAGTTATATATCTTTTTTGTGCATGTAACAGGTTTGCAAAGTGAAAAAGCCCAAAGTCCAGCCCAAAGGGAGTTCCCATCTCCCACAGAAAACTCTGCTCTGAACTGCCTGAAAACAGCTCGTTTGTAGTCCAGCCTTTACTTCCCTTTCTTGTGACGTCACAAGTAAACACGTGTCCTAATGCTCGCGGAGCGATTAGTCTGACACGCCCTCAAAAACAGCGGTGGGAAAACAGTGAGCTGCAGCACACAGCTCTCCTCTCCCTTCCAAACACTAGCTACCCTCCAGGCAGTCAGTGGACATGAAGTTGTTACTGTGATGTAGAGACAGAGCTCAGTTAAAACTTTATGGATGAAAGATACTTTTGTTACAGATTAACAACTCACACTCTGAAACTCTTGCTCCAGTCCATGTTGATAAGCTGGCTGGAAACATGTAGCCTACAGCTGAATCGAAGCGGTTTACCAGCTTTTTCGCTGACCTGCCCTTCTCTGCTTCTGATCTGGGTCTGGTCTTACCAAATAACCATCACTAAATAATAGTTAAGTATCGATAGTTATATCGATAAAGAATCGGATCATTAAGCAGTCTCAATAAGGGTATCAATATTAATAAAAATTAACGATCCCCATCCCTAGATACAAGGGTCTTCACTTCCAGTCCTCCAGTGGTTTCAAACCATATCTGAAAACAAGGAGAAGGAGCAAACACGTAGTATTAATATGTATATAATAAATAGTTTGTTAAACTCTGCACATGTGCTTCTTGTGAAAAAGGTAGAGCCCTGTGTTGTGTGTGTAGCATGAAGGAACTTCAAATTTTATTTTGTTATTCAGCCTTGTGCTAATAAACAACCTTGTACCTTGGACTGGCCACTAGTAAAATTTACTTTAAAGCACGGAGCACTTCCTGACGGTTCGGAGGCATTGCGAGGCTACCCAAGAGACCAATCACAGTTCTTGCGGTCCACGTCACCCCAGGGTGTGGTTCCATTTTTGAGGAGGTGCACGTCAGGCTATGGCATAGGTTAGGGGAATACGCATAGGCTACACCGTTGATTCAACGCAGAAGTATAACTTTAGAGGAAAATAGACCATAAAGCAGAGTATGCTACAGGGTGGGACTATCTGTGATTGACAAGGTGTTACCATGGTACCTGACAATCAGGATAGAGTAACTCATACCCACGGCACTGTGTAAATTTAACCAGTGCCGTTGAAAAAGCTTATTAGGAGTTTGCTGCTCATTTTCTCTGGTGAGTGCATTTTGTTTTAAGCCTCTTTTTTGCTAGACAAAATGTTCATCCCGGCTAAAATGACAGTTAACGTGAATTACAGATGCACCTAGATAAATAATAAAGCAAAGCTAGCTAGCGCCACACAGAGCCGTTGGCTCCACCATCTCTTACAAATATGGTCATGTCCGGTGCTGCTGGTTGCAAATAAATCAACATGGCAGTGCCCTAATGCAATAGTATGAAGCTGCAGTACCGGAGGCTGCAGTTTCAGGATCCCCGCAATCCTGGAACCGCAGTTCTAGGACCCTAGTTCTTTTGCGACAACGCTATCTAGTGGAGTGGTGGTGGTAATACACAGCAACACGAAGGAGGTTAACCCTGTCGGCTAGCATGTGCGCAGCTGTAGGGTTAACCGGTCAACATACATATAATCACTAATTTAGGTTTAGGCACACACTCTGTGGTGGCTGTGGTGTGGCTTTGGGGGGGCTGTAAAGAGTAACATTCAGCTAGCTGGCAGTATCAAAGTAAACAGGGGTCCTGAAATTGCAGTTCCGGTCCTAGGATGCGGTCCTGAAACGACAGCCTCTGGTACTGCAGCTACATGCTACTCCCCTAACGGCCAAACTCGAGGCTTCAAAACTGCAGTCCACAAACAAACAGGTGACGTCACGACGACTACGTTCACTTCTTTTATACTCTCTAGACTCTATAGTTTTAGTTTTCATAGTTATTTTATGCTGCCTGCCAACCAATAACAGGGATGTGATTTTTTTTTCCGGATTTGAGGACATCTACAGGACATCTCTAGAGTCTATGCTATGGATGCTTAATTCCTACGCTTCTCAGAGGGGGAATCCAATCTAATATTTCCTGAGGCTTTTTTCCCCCCCAGAGGTGTGTTAAGCAAGCCACAGACTCCTGAATGTCTTTCTGAACTTTTCAAACTAAAAGCTCTCATTTCAACTTTAAATAAAGCGCTGCAAAAAAATCTCACGCTGTAATTTTGTAGGCAAAATCACTTTAGAGGAAGTGATTATCTGAGTAACTGTTGCTGTCATGTCTGATATCATGAAACCAATGTGAGAGGCACATTTTGAACAAAAAGCACAGGGGTGTGTGTCACATCCCTGCACAGCTCTGTGAACGGTCACTGCACTAGTTAAAAAAAGAATGCAGGTTTATGGCACATGCATTAGCTTCACTTTCACAAAAGAAGTTGCTTCTTGCCCAAAAATTTTTTATTATGTAGTGACTGCACACAGTGTGCGCAGATAGTCAAGTAAGCAAGAACACAGACAATCATTTGATTCGGACCGAATGATAGATTTGTTTTTTTCCCCACTTGGGTCAGAGCATTTCATTTATTCATTGTTGTCAGGATGTGAAGAATTTCAGCAAATGTAACAAGTGCTTCTGAAATAAATTGCATATCCAAGTTTTAATAAAAACAAAGTAATCACTGAACAAATGGTCAATGTTAGTTGCAGCTGTAATACATGTATTCTATTTACCTTACCAATCCCATAACTATGGCACTACAAGAAAACAAATTCACTAAGTTGTAAGTTACCATAACGTGGACCACGCTGCTTCCTATTGACAAGTTAAGTCACCCATCTGCAAATGAAGTTTTATTCGCATAAGCTGTAAGTTAATTCCGAATCGAATAACTAAACTTACCCTGCCGGAGGAGCGACTTCTGCTGGACACCATGGGCGGTGGCAGCTCCTCGTCGCTGGAGAAGGCGTCCAGAGTCGTGGCCGTGACATGTTTGCTGTTCTGAACGGTCAGGTTATTCAGATAAAGCTGTACATACACGTCTTTGGTCGTGTTACCGCTCGGAAGTTCCACGTTGTGAGCCAGCAGCTCGCTCTTCAGCTTGTCCTTGGTGAGCACAGACGGGTCGTCCAGGTACTCCGGCATGTCGGCTGAATGGACAGACAAGTTAACGTTAGCTAGCTCACAGCGAGGTGCAAACTGGAGTAGAGGCGAGGTTTGGTTAGAGCACAACGGCAAACCAGCGCCGCTTACTGGATTCACTGTTAATTCACAAAACAAATACTAGCTACGGAGGTAAGCTAAGTGTTTCAAAGTGAGACTGAAACATTAGTTACGTTAAAACATTAGAATAAATGACTTGAAACACTAGCTGTCGTTCTCGCTTCACACTCCAGAAAGAATAATGGAGAAATTAAAGTGCTCCTTGGTGAGCGGCCAGGTTGAAATCTGAGCCAGGCTAACGTCACTGCCACTCATGCACCGGGCCGGAAGTGACTGCATGTACAGATCGGCTCCTATTGGTCAGATGCTGTTTTAAAGACATTCCTTATTGGTGGAACAAACAGTTTTTGACATAGTCCAATCACCGTGTTTATAGCACCAAACCCCCCCAAAAAAGAGTGCGAGACAATATTTTATGGTGGGGTTATCACTTAAAATGTTCTATTTGTTTACATTGTTACATAGTTTGTTATTGCTTAGCTTCTGTTTCTACATTACAAACCACGTCACCATATTCATTCCCATTTGTCACAGGTAAAAAAAAAAGAACCAAACCCACTTTGCTCTTTTTGCATTTTAAAAATAAAACAGAATGCAATTGTTTATTTTATCACTGGACATAAATGAAGACAGAAACCAAGGAAAAACCCCAGTGACATTTCTTCCCCTTCCTCTTCATCCCAAAACATTTTCTTTAATTTGGACATTTAACTTTATATACTCAACCAGTACAACAGCAGCGCATACTCAAGCTGTTTTTGAAGAAATGAAAGCGCCTTAACTAAGAACAAACTGTGCAACTACCTCCAGTATTCTTGTAAATTTGAACTGACAAAAACCTTTTTTGAAACCAAAACTGTTCCGGGGGGGGGGGGGGGGGGGGTTGAGCAACAGACAGAACTGGGATGATCAGAGAGAAAGCAGGCAGCGATGAGCAGACACTCACAGCTCTACTGCTTTACTCTGTAGCCAATACTGTCCATATGATTGCATAAAATCAGTGTGTGTATGTGTGATGGGTTGGTCCATGACAGACAAGGTAGTCATAATATCCACATCAGTTTCTGATAGATGGTAGAAAGATGCTCCTTGCTGGGGCCTGATAGAACACTGGAACCCTCCACTCATCTTCTTTCCTTCTTACTTTCTCTTCTCAACCTGTTTCCGGCACCTCTTTCTCCTCAGGCTTTAATCTCAGGGGTCGAGGTGTACAGCTGCTCAGAGTTCTCTGCCCCCAGGTCCTCTGTGGAGTAATGCAAGACAAAACAGTAAAATGATCATACTGATACCTGGATATGGCATAATATTGCTGGTACACAAATGTAGTGAGGTAAGAAACAAGCAAAGCAGCCTGTATTTCATAGTTTTCAGTCACGTGACATGCGCGGTGACCTGGAGGGCAAAACAACAGACAAAAATAGCTGCTCACACTGCAACTTCCTGTAGAGTCGACGCAAAAGCAGTCAAATTTTATTTGTATCACCTTTCAACTTAAGAAGAATAAAGATATGAACACAAATCGCAAGTGTTGGGCATATCTGACCCATATAACGTTACAGCATCCGCTGCTGCATTTCTACCTTTAAAAATCGCCAGGTCCCTCCCACCACGGTAATGTTTACTTTTACCTTCTGGGGAATCCCTCACCTAACACAGGCCAGGCTTGTCTCTTCCTCGATTAGTGCCTCCGAAAGCACAACAACCATCCAGCACAAAAGTAACAAACTCAAAGTAACAGTGTATTACTTGCTTATTGCAGGCATGTGATTGGCAAAGGGCAAAAAAGCAGGAAAATATACTGAGACCCCCCACCATCACCACCCCGAACAAACTGGCGGCGGCTCTAGATAAGTGTCTAATCCACTGCGCCATCGCAACCTCTCTATAATAATTATTTTGTATAAATTTTTTACTAAACTTCAACAGCTAATTGTGCAACATGAAATAATTGAGTCTATAACTAAGTAATATACTACTACTACTAACTTTCAAATTAGTTCAGTAGAAGTTAATGGGACTATTTTTAATGAATAATAGTTGTCGCCTGTTTAAGACCTGGTGGCCTAAAGATACAGTTATATTAGTCAGGAAACTCTGATCAAACAGCAGATCAGTCTCTGTCTGTTGTTAAACTGTAGGTAAAAGTTTGACATTCCAATTCTGCCGTGTGGGTGAGACGACTGACAGTTTTACGAGATCGCGCCAGCTACACAGAGGCCGTTGCCATAGTTACCTCACGGAGGGCTTGTTTGCCTGTTGATGAGGAGGACAAAGCGACCCCGTGGATCAAAGCCTTATGAAAAGGCCTCATATAAACCCTGTCACAATCATTCACAAGAAATTAATTTATAACGTGCCAAAACCTTTAACATAAGAACGACTTAAAAAGCAACCATTTATACAGCAAAGTGTATATTTAGGCTACATGAGTGATCAATCGACAACAAAGTCAAAGTAAACATCAGACATAGGCTATAACAAGCAATAATCAAATCATACCCAATTTATCCCATCCTTATTGTCAACTCAGTGTTGGGCAAGTTACTCAGAAATAATACAGCTACTTACAAGTTACTTAGCATATACTCCTTAAAAAAGTAATATTAGCTACTCTACGTTTTACTGGGTGATATAACGAGTCCAAGCATCAGTGGCAGCAGCGGCCGGAGTTTTTCCGAGTTTCACGTTGCTGCGCTGCTTTAGCTGATGTTTTAATTAAGTAAAGATGTAGAAATATTTGCGGTTGAAAAGTTTTTGCTGGTCGCATAAAGTTTAATGTTACAACGGACGACAATGTTCTTTGCATCTTAGACTGTGACACAGTAATGGCAATAATGTTACTTACAGCTGTCGAAAATAACTCTCTCCCTGTTCTCTTGTCTTCCTTTAGCGCATTCACGTCAGGGATGGGGCGTTCACTAGCGCAGCGTTACTTGGATAAGTAACTGTTTAGGAAATAGTAATCCGTTACATTACTCTTTACTTGGAAAAGTAATATTGCAGTATTACTGCCCAACACGTTACCACTGATGCGTGAGAGCGACTGTGGTACACACTGCGCAGGTGTGGAATGGACAGCTGAATGCAAACGAACATCCTTGCTGATACTTTCAAAGTAAGAAAACTCTACACACATGCCTGTAGATGTCCTCAAATCCGGGAAAAAAAAAATCACATCCCTGTTATTGGTTGGCAGGCAGCATAAAATAACTATGAAAACTAAAACTATGAATAACTGCTGATTGCAGGATTCCATCACAGTTGCCATGACATTTTTCAGCCTGAGGTTTCTGAGCCGACATTTTGAAGCTTGTGGTTCCGCTTTACTACTCAGTTTTATCGTTTTTTGGAACCAGAGAATCCACATTTTGGCAGTGGAAGTGGAGCTGAGGGAAGATAAATATGTTGCAACCAACTAGGTTGAATCCAATAACTCAATAACTTTAGAGATGTCAATACAGTACTACATGGGTGTCACAGATAGCTGACGAAATTTACATCACATAAAATGGGCTACCACTGATTTTGCTTTGTTAAGTGTGAGGGAATAAACAAATCCTGATGATGTAATAGTCTTGCCATATGGTCATTTGGCTTGGAGACTACAAATTTACATCAGAAAGCCTGGAGGGGTGGAATTCGAAAGGCACAGGTGTTTACAAAACAAGGAGGTTCCAACTAAAAGATGTTATCAACTTTCCTAAAGGCTTGTGCAGACTACACGACTTTCAGCGTTGGCCGATTGCCGTGCTGTTCAGAAAACACAACTTGAGACAGGTGATCGGTGACGGGGTCACACACAACACGAGCTGACGACTGTCAGCCGATGCTGGTCTCCAAACCACATTTTGTCAAGAAAATGCGAACCTACACACAAAACAGCTGTTTGTTCTGAATGCTCTGGTTAATGTCAACCAGAGCATTCAGCACTGATCTGCTGCGTTTCACGTTATAATAGGAGTGCCCATGGAGTCTGCACGTCATTCCAACAGTAGAGTCCTGACGACAGTTTTATTTAGGGATATATGAGATAAATGTTACCGTGTCATTTCGTAAAGGGACTGATGATGTAACTCTCACCTCATGAAGCTGAGGGCTCAAATGATCTCCTGTCCAGACAAAAGACGCACCGCAAAAAAAGTTACAGTATTTCTATATAGTGAATGATGAAGGCTACTGTAATCTGACTATTTTCAACAGATGCTATAATGTTTATTGGAACCTCAATGTTTGTTTCTATGTGTTATAATGTTGACAGACATGTTTCTGGATTAGGAAGATATGATCTGTAGCCTTTAGTGCCAAAAGCTGGTCCGCTCATCTGACAGATCACAGTGGCAGGCTCAAACTGTGGACAGATGATGTGGCTGTGCAACATGTCATATTTAACTGACGTTGCTTTAAAATGACTGCTATGACGAAAGGACATCTCATTTCGTTAAATGCCTGTTTCCTCGACTCGATCTAGTAGGCACAAATTTGGGATCTGAAAAAAGTCTGGCCAGACAGTTAGCCTCAGCTAGGGCCAATAGAATCTGCTGAATTTCATAGGAAAGTTATAATAATTAATTATTTTAAATGACACATACAATGGTCGCTTCTTGTGCTCCAGAGTGCAATTGTTAGCAGTCAGAGATTCAATATATTCCATTCTTTGTTTATATTTTCGGTGCCTTATCAAGTTGATAGTCTTGAACGCAGCTCTTTTATACAAAATAGATTTTCTCACCGACTTGCATACAGGAGGCAGTTTTTGATGCCAGTATTTTGGGGTAATTAGAGGATCTGCATTCACAGACATGTTTACACTGGCTTCAGCATTTAGCATTGGTGGTCGCTGTTTGCTGAAAAGATGACAGGAGTATGACCAGCGCTGGCTACATAAATGTGTGCCCAAAGTTGTAGTGTTACCAGGAAGGACACACTTCCACAGGCCGTAGGTTTTCCCCACAGCAGTCTGCCACAGTCGGAGCGTGCCGTCCTCAGAGCCACTGGCATAGAGCTCACCATCTGGACTGAAGCGAACACAGTGTACTGGACCAAAGTGACCCTTATAGGACTCTGCAGACAGGGGGTAAAGCAACAGCATTAGACTGAGTGCTAGAACAAGTTTCTCTTATCAAGGGAAACCGATATTTTGTTTTTATTTTTAAATTAACTTTTATATTTAAGTATAAATAGTAGTTTATTTGGCTTTTATACATTGTTATTAAACACATTTTAAATAGACAAACTACCTTCAACCTTACACACTGAAAGCAGGCCATTTATTCCCAAAAGTGGAGTAGCTACCTTAAAAGCTCATTTTTATCAAGACTCAAACAATATCTAAAATGATCCGTAGTCTAGAGAAAAATCTCCTCTCTTCTCCTCACCCAGCTCTTCCTTGGTGCTGTAGTCAAATTTGTAGAGTTTGAAGTCATCTCCCCCAGCAACAAAGAAGTCCTTCTCTGGGTGGAGGGAGGCCGAGTTGATGGGAGCAGGGGCGTCCACTGCCTTGATCAGGTCCAGGCTGTAATATGATAAAATCAATCTAACGTTGTGCTTAAGTAATGTCACTGGAGAAGTAAATGTCTACAATGTCTCATCTGCACTACAAAGTTGTAGGTATAATTGTAAATAAATAATAAAAAAATTTAGCCACAAGAGGCGATGAAGGGGTTCAAACCAGTTCAAAACATTTGATTTATAGTCTGACTTGTGTCATGCCACAACCATTTCTTGTATTTGTAGCGCCCCCTAGTGTTTGATTTTGAATGAAACTTTCCGGGCATATCTGGGGCACCTATCTAAACATACACTCTAGGATTTGTGATGACTGGCCCAACGGTTACTAACAAAAATGTGTTTTTCAGAAAGATTCAAAATAAAACTTTATTAACATACAAATATCCATTGTATCAAATTCATTCAGAATCACAAAGGATAAGAATTGCAAATCTTCTGTGAATAAATTAAGTGCAGCAAACCTCAGAGCGTCATAGAAAGCGATTGTCTTTCCATATGTTATAACAAGACTCTCTCCATCAGCCACATACTCCATGCTGCTCACAGACGTGTCGAACACCAACTTCTTCACCTCCTCCATGGAGCTCCTGTCCCACAGCCTGGGGACACACAAGGGACTTGTTAGACATTCGACTGTCTCTGAGACACCGTCAGGATGACGAGCAGAAGTCTATTCTGTTTCTCTCTCTCTGTGTCTGCTCTTTTGACATTCTCCATCAGCAGTGGGCTATGTTTTATAAAGTCGCCAAAATGACACAAAACTCTATTCCATTTTCCGCTGCAGGTTTGCCGCATGGGAAAGAGGCTTGTTAATTGTGCTTGTAAAATATTCACTGTGGCTACGTCTTATAATGTAAGAGATTTCTGCAAAATGCCGTTATACCTGGGTGGCCCGCCCAAGTAAAGTCTATGTGGGAAACACTGAATACAACTCTGTTGTCGAAGTCAGCATGCTATACATAGCTGCTAGTCAATATTGACTGCTCGTGCAACATTTTAAGATACAGTATGTCACTTATCATTATTCTAATGTGCTGTATGTGTCTCACGCTCATGTCTTTTCAGGATGATTGAATAAAATATTAGTCGTTAGATTAATAGACTAATCTAACAACTAATGTAGCCTATTGCTGCTCTTGGTGGGAAATGTTCGGTTTCCGTAATAATATCATAAAATACGGTCCAGAACTGCTCTTTTATGAAAGGCGCAATGAGATAATTGTTGTTGTGATTTGGTGCTATATAAATAATATTGAATCGAACTGAATTCGGACAGAATTCGAAAAATGCAATTAACTGTAAAATGCAGAATATCGTGGTCATGCGGAATCTGCCAAAATGTTGATGCAAATGATAAAAATCAGGAGTTTCCCAAGACTTATAAACGTTTTTGCTCACAGCACTTAAGCCAAACAAACAGAAAAACAAAGCTGCTATGTTTTGGGGTTTACAGGCTGCCTCTGTCCTCTCTGCTTCAGTGTTTCAGTGAGGGCGGAGCTCAGAGTTCTCCTCCACACGCATCATATCATCGAAGACGGGCTCAGACTCAGTGTGTTCAGCAGCATATGGAGGCTGTCATGTAATAAATAACCTGTTTGATGGGGGACAATTCACAATAAATGTATTGCACCAATTCATTCATTGTGAATTGTCCCCTATTAAATAGTATTATAATATCCTACTGTTGTAATACATATTTCGTAAATTGTCCCCATAAATAATTCCACATAAATTTGAGTATTTCTATGTTGCATGTTTATACTTTAAATTCATTTATATTAATTCAATATGTAATATTTCTTATGGATTTTTTAAATGTTATTCATCCTCCACATGATAACACACTCTTTCTGGTGACAAAATGTGTTTTAAACACATATAGACACACATGATCTGGGCACTGACAAACAACCAAGCAACCTTACTGACCGTATGGTTTTGTCATCTGCAGCAGAGAGGATCTGCTTGTCGTTGTTACACCACAAGGCTTTCTTTATAGCTGAGGTGTGACCTGCAATCTCCTGAGGTGCTACAAGACACAAAGATGCAACAGTTGAATACATTAGAAGACACCTGATACAACACAAATGGCAGGTTTGACTGGGATAACGAGTCTATTCCCTTTAATAATACACTGAACTACAAAAGCCTTTCACATGCAACTGATTTTTAATAACACCGGTCTCCAGTAGGGGCCAGCGTCGCACTGATCAATGTAGGATTTACAGAAAATAATGAAGCAGCCCAGAAAGCAGAAGAGCATGAGAGCATGCTCTAACCCTCACCAATAAATGACATTCGACATGTACCCACATATATCTTTGCATGAAATCATTCTCTTACCTGCTTCAGGGTTGCTGAGATCATAGATGCGCAACAGCTTGTCATTTCCTCCAGTCAGCAGACAGTTGCTGTCCTGAGTGGACAGTATATTCACAGACAATAGCAATTTCAGAAATATCCCTATATCATTATCACATCTACATAAATGCATTAAGGATATATATAGAAATGATCGCATTCCTAAACATGTTATTTGAGTAGCTCATCCATATCCACTACACTGACCTGAGTAAAGTTGACAGTCTTGACGATGTGTTTGTGTGCCAGTGTGAGGACCTCGTCTCCACTCACTGCATCCCACACCTTTCTGAAAGGCACAGAGGTCATTCTTTAAATTGTTGACAGTTTATGCAACCTCTTATATTTGCCAATGTTAGTTTTCTTCTTCCTCATACAAGGAAAGCTGCCTTCCCAAGCATGAAAGTAAACACACTTTGCATATAGGTCCAGTCCCATGTCAAACCGACATTGTGGGCTAATAGTCCTGATGGTGGTGGTGATGGCTACAGCAACAGTCTAAAGTTTAAAACGTAACAAATCAGTCATAGTTGCTACCAGTTACAGCTTTCACCAAAATGTAGGCCCTAAATTTTCAGATATGTCAAGAATTATGACATTTATTTATTTATTATTATCGATGGGCGGAGCCTGATTCGACTGTCAATCTCACAGTCGAAGTTTCGCTGTGAAACAAGGATCATGCCATTTTGGCGATATGGAGGTGCTCAACATCTGATTTTACATAGATCTACCAGTTTTCTCCCAATAAGTTAATATACAGCCTATTACAATATACATTTCAACGTTTAATGCTGTAAATAAACATGTAAAAAGAATAAAACTGTCAATAAATGTTTTTAAAGTGCGTGAATAAATCCAAAATTGTAACCCTAAGCCTGGGTCGTCAGTGTGCATGTGTAGTTGTAGCGTTGTGTGCTGGCGGAAGAGGAACACTTGCTGAAGAGACGGAGCCCCAGCTTCACTGGTGTTGTGCTGAGCTGTTCGCACCTGGCGGGACTTTCGGATAATTTTTCACCGTTGATGAACCACACAAAGAATATTTTATCGTTTTTAAATAGCTGGTTACTTGAAATAAAACCGCCAGGAACCACAATGTGCATGCGGTTGTTGGCAGCAGGGAATGCACGCTAAATTCTGCACAAGAAGCTACTATATAATCACAGTGGTAGATTCAACTGATCCATAAAATGTCTCCATTTCTCTCCATTAGTTGTCACTTTAGGATATGTCTGCTTAGAGGAAATGTCCGATTGGTCAGTAGAAGGGCTGTTTAAGCATTTTGATGCTCTGAAGTTAATATGCTCCAGAGCAGGTTAGCTGTGGAGCACATCCTGGATGACTGGATAATTTAGACATCCTGCCGGCAAGACACACGGCTAGACATCAATCTGTAAGCCCTGTACAGGATTGGACCCTCCACTCACGCTGTGAAGTCAGCTGCAGCGGTGGCTGCCTTCGTGGCGTCTGTGTTGAGAGTGGCTCCCCAGACCGCACCTTTGTGACCCAGAAACGTTCCTATCCAGTCCCCTGTGTCTCCCTGGCGCAACATGGGCTTGCCATCTGGCAAAAGAAAAGCAGCAAAGATACATCTTAACCCATTTTACCAGCAGATGACAAAGCCTGTGATACTGCAGTCAACATGGGTCTATTAAACAAGCCACAGACTGCCTCACTTTGACAACATGTAAGTGTGCATTCTAACGGCAGCTTTCAGGAAGACAAATTGAAAAAGTACATTTCAATTCAAGGGTCTGACATTAAATGACCAATTTATAAACAACAACATAGATAACAGTGGTCAAAAGATGCCTGAAAGAGAATGTAATGTTAAGCCAGTGGACACATGGAAATTAAAAAGTGTTTCACAAAGCAGATAGGATGTAACATGAAGTACAGTATTTTTTGGATTTATGAAATAATAAAAAGAGATACCCAAAATCCAATTTGCAATCCTTACCAATTGATGCAACTAAAAACATGCACTGAATCTTTAAGGGGAAAATTAAGGGAAACCTAACTTACACTGCTGAGTGACCCATTTTCTAATTTTTGCACTTCTAAATGTTGCAGAAGCTACAGGCATTTTGGATAAACCTTTAAAGTTGTCTGAAACACAATCTGAAACCACCAATCTAATGTTTTCTACAATAGAGGTGCAACAACTAATAGACATAGTTGACAAAAATCAATTATTAAATTTATTGCCAACAAATTTAATAATCGATTCATTCATGACGTCATTGGGCCGTAACTACACCGTCAGCTTAACGGAGTAAAATGATGTGTGAACAGTAAAGTTACTATAACAACAATACGCCACCACTGGTATTAACACCTTCACGACCTAAAACCTCCAACGTGTGAGAGCATTTCACTGTTCTTGTGATTCGTAATCCGGATAGTCGATTATTCATTTAAATAATTGATAGAATAATCGACTATCAAATTAGTTAGTTGCAGCCCTAGTCAACAAGCAAAAATAATTTATATATCACCCTTTATACTATTATAATAAATAGTATAAAATTTTCACAAATCTGAAACTGTGTTTAAAGACACTTTGGTAGATTTAACAGTTCTAGGTATAGTCATTTTCCTGGACCTGGTTACAGTCTATGGACACAACACAAAGGTGGTGCTGAAAAGTTAAGGGAGAAAAAATAACAAAAAACGCTCAAGGCAGGTGCAGCAAAGCGCCTCAACACACTTTTCTTTTGTGCTGTTGTTACCGGGACTTATAGCCTACCTGAAGAAAGTAGTGAGGACGCATGCAGCAGGAGTGGGTAGTAACTTGTTACAAGTAACGCAAATTAACAAAATAAATAATATAAGTCATTGGCATCTTTTAACGTTCCTTTTCTCTTCACTCCAGTATTTTCTTTGGGACAGTAATCTACTTTTTAATTTCACTACATTTTCCATTCATACCTTCATAATTTAACCAGTCTGTAATATGCATCAGGCCTCATTAACCGAAATGAGCGGTCAGCCAGGCTGTGTGCAGTTACGCAGAAGAGCACTGGTCTCGGGCACGTGTCACAGTTACATAGCTGGGCAGATGCAAACACTTAGAAAATCAGGCAAATACCTTTTCAGTTTAAGGCTTTATTGTTCTACTAATACAACTGAAATCCTGTGAGCGCACACCATGGCACTAGTGGCTATGTTGGAAAGCAGCCTGTATCCCTCTTGAACAAGCAGGCAAGTGAAATAATTTCACTTTCCATTAATGGCGTAGAAAAGTGTATTTAGTCTCTGCAGAGCAAATGTAGACACTGTAAGATCTAAATCTGATGATGACTGGATTGACTCTGATATATTAACAGTAGACTATCATGTTGTTGAAAATAGCATTGCTTTCTTTTGATGGATATTAGCCTGTTTATTTCACATTGGTTAGGCTTCTATTTGTTTTATAGCGATGTGCAATGCTGACTCCATAAACAGAATGCCGCCGGTGAAACTAATGTTTCACTCAACAGCAACCAGCTGTTATTTACACAGGAAACAATCCTTTTTGGGATGCACAGAGACAGAGAGAAATTATGGGTGGATAAAACAGTCCTGTTGGGCTTTACGCATGACGCGCAGCTTCCTCTGTATGTAGGTTTACCTGCTTCAACAACGAGCTGCTCTCGTGTTACTGCCACAATAATTCTTTTCATTGATGCTTCATTTAATCCATTTAACTATACAGCACAGTGTTTTGCAGGGACATTTATTACTGTCGCACATCGCGCTTACGCTATGAACACGACGTGATTATGATGGAGCTGTTTGCAAAGTGGAGGAAGAGAGAAAATACAAAGAAGTGTCCAAAGTATGGGATTATTTCAAGCTAAAGAAAACAACTCTGTAATGTTACCATCTGTCTACTGTAAAATGAAACTTATGTCTCGGCAACAGCACGAGGGCATCTGATCAGAAAGCAGCCGGTGTTCTGCTTCGAATACTAAAATCATCATTGCAGCCCTAGTCCTGAGGTGTGTCACTGCTTGTTGTATGGATGGCTAGTAGACAGGGTATATTCTATGTACTCATGTAGTAAAATGCCAACGGCATGTCTTCAGAGTTTGCATTGAAGACAGTTCTGTGTTCACAAACATTTGTTTCAGGGAAAGTCAGGGCCAAGTGAGACACAGGAAATATCACAGACAGCTCACAAGTCTAACATTAGGATAACTAAATACATTTGTACTGTGCTTAGCTACATTAACTAGCAGCTGTTCCATGGTTTTTGATGGTAGGTAGTCAGTGGAGTTTTGTTGTGGTTATATTCAGTCTCTCTGACTGTGCACCAAAGTTTTCATAATCTCCCCCCTAAAGTCTATACTCCATCATCTGTCACTGCAAATACCCTCTTTCAGCCCCATTAACAAGTACATTCTGTTTTCAAAAGACATGAGCTTTTAAGTGCTTTATTTAAAATAACAAACAAACAAAAAAACGGGGATGCCCCGAACCCCACTAGCATTTCAGCGCCCCTCCACCCCAGGTTCATAGTCGCTCCTACGCCCCTGAGAGGCACAACAAAGGGATGATCCATCGCTCAGCAATGAAAGTTAAGTTTCCCCATAACTACCAAATCGGAAGCTAACTTAAGCGTCGTAAACGTTAAGACCTTTTCAACTTGTTAATAACCCTTAATTTGCTAAGTAACAGACTGGCCGGTGGTCTCACCCTTGCAGGCGCTGATGAGGAAGTAGCCATAGGGAGTGATTCCACTAAAGGCCAGGTCCACCACAGGCCGGGTGTGACCAGAGCAGGTGAGTGGAGTCTGTCTCATCGCCATGGTCCTTCAGTTGGGCAGGAAACGGTTCGCACTGAGGAAATAACGTTAGACTATACAACGCTAACGGCTAGCTAGCTGGTATGCTAGCGGGCTAAGAGACAGACAAGAACACAAACTGGCTAGCAGAGTGTTGACCTGTAGTTGCTGGTTGGAATACAAATGGCCAATAATTAACGTTAACTCCGTAGGTTTGTCAAACTAATCGTCGGGTCTCCCTCCCAGCGAAGGACTGGCGATCGTGCTAATAGCTACAACATTGCAACTAACTAGCAACGTGCAGCGCGGCGTAACTATCGCAAAGATGATATAGCCTAGCCAGTGTTCCGCTCGCCACAACAAAGGTAATACTTCCGGTGTCATTTCTTTCTCAATAAAAGTGTCGTCTCTGACTGAGGAGTGACAGGATAACCACTGTTTAATATTAAATAAATAAAACACATATAACTAAAATATTTATAAATAAAACGAAATACAAAATTGTGAAACAATTCATTCTTTGTCATTTTTAATCAATTCCAGCAGTTTTCATTATTAATTTTAAAACGTAGTGACTGTTTCATAACTTCGCATGACGTCTTCAGATGTGAAAAAGGACAGACAGTTTGCTGTTACTTTGGTCTGAACGTGCCAACAGCTCATATCTTAATGTCTTACTAAGCACTCCATAGTAAGCAATTTGCAGGTTGCAAGACAATGCTTTTTGTAAGATTGCAACTTACAAAAAGCTGTTTTTGTAGATAAGCATATCATCAAGTAAAAAAAAATTGTGATACTACTATATTGATACTATTAGTGATTACAGACTACTATAGTATTTTTCAAAACTCTTGTTCTGATATTTAGTAGTTATTTTTAAGCATGTGGTACACAATGATGTATTACAATCAATATTAATACTGTTTTGACAAAAAATTCTCCTACTTTTATTTTGATCTCTTCATTGTAGGATAAACGCATCTCGGTTGAATTGCTGCCCCCTAAAGGAAATGAATAGGCCTACCTGCTCTTCACACTTTTCTTCACACAGGCTACAATAAGAAAATGTTCCTCCTCACCTGTATTTGTGTTCTGCTTCTTTATTCCAGCTAAGTGACCCCGTTGTTAAATATCGTAAACTTGAGACATTTCTCTCAAAATATTCTGGAAATACTTATTTTTCATTCATTTATCAGGATAAAATTATACAGTAACCCTGCTGTAAAACTATTGTTAAGGATACAATAAAGTGGTACAACAAAATTAATCTAACTGTAGAGCTATAAAGGTCTATAACTTGCTACTGTATGTAGGTTACTAGCATGTGGAATTTTGTTAATTCTCTTCACTTTTTTGTATTTTACCTGTGCAGGATTTTTCATATAGAAAAATACAGAACATACAGAACATTTTGCCAAAAGTATAAACCACAAATATAATTTCTTATTAATCAATTAAAACCTAAAAATACAAATATGTATTTTTTATTAGTAGGCCTAGTAGTAGGCTAAAAATGTAAGCTTAGGGGAACTTGTCTGTAGTTATCAGTCTGGGCCCGTATTTATCAAGCTTCTCAGAATTACTCATAAGAACGCTGCTAAGAACAGATTTAAGAATAAAATAATTCTTGGCACTAAACTGTGCTTAAAAGTTAGTTATCAAGCCTCATAGTCCTAATTTGAGTGAAGTGCAGGACTAAATCTTAAGTGTCAGTCTTAGTGCTGATTCACGACACTTTGCTGTGCCGCAAACAGGATTTTGGATGACGATGTAGCCAAGGACCAATCATTGAATAGATTTCCTTATTTAAGAATATTCTCTGATAAATTCACACTGAATGGTGAAATTCCTAAGAGGAGTTTATATTCAACACACATTTAACAATAAAGATTTTTCAAGATATTACATTATGATATGGGCCTACACTTTAATAAATGAAAAATTAAAAAAAAGTTTATCTCTATATGAGCGCCATCAAATGCGCCCCTGTATCACAGACCTTGGACCCCCCTATGGCCCCCCTGCTGAACGAAAAGTCTACAGCAGCCCCATTGAATTGGCGGCCGCGGGCCACATCCGCCGGAAGCAACCTCCATGTGGCCCAGCACATAATCTAATAGCCTAGATATAACAACAAATGTAAACTACATGTATAGTGAATGGAAGTCGCTAGAGTGAGATCGTTTCCTTATCATCATGGCTGAGTTTCACATGCGCTGTACTGATCACCGCCAATCAAGGCTCAACTTAACTGTCCGACCTGCAGCCTCTCCGCTCCTCTGTGTCTGCAGAAGTCAGCCAGCTGATCAGCGGACATTGACGACAACTACGCTGGTTAGCATACGTGGTGCAATAAAGACTTACCCAGTAAAAAGCCAATTCTTTACCAACACTCCTGTTTAATGAGCATAAACATGCAAAACTCAATGTTTAATCTGCTCAGTCTCTCATCCACCGCAGCTGTGTTTAGGTTTTACACAAGCACAGCGCTAGTTCAGATAAGAGCTTATTGTTACAAACAAGCTAAAGTGAAAGCTGTCTGTCTTTAGTAACTGTTCAGCTTAGTTTGCCACTTACATTAAAATATTATAAACACATTATAAAAAAGACGCACATTATAAACTCAGCTGGTGGCTGAGACAGAGCAGCCATCCTCTCTACCAGCAGCAGCAGCAGGAGGAGGAGGACAGGACTGAGCTGTTCATTCTTTCTAAACTTCACTCAGTATGTTGATGTCAGGAATATGATTTATTTTACTGACATGGTAGATTTGTTTCCAGTGAGATATTAGTGACTTTGCTGTTGTAAATCCTGTTGCTGCTCTAGAAACAATATTTAGTTAATAAAAAATGTTAAATAATTTTTTTAAATAATATATGCAATTATTTTGTAATAAATAGGACTGATAAGAGCATCAATAATGTATTGAACCTATAAGGATTACCAATACAAGTGTGTCAGTGAAATCCTAATGATCCCAACTCGTAAGAAAATGTCTCTGTGTCCTGGTTTTAAAATCCAGCCTAATTGAATCTGTAATTGAACAGCCCTGGTCTGCAGTGATCATAGTAATATATCTTCCTTGCGACAAAATGTACGTTAAACTGAATGCAGCATTGTAGACAATATTTTCTCCTTGTACTCCATGTTTCCTTTGAAGATTGCTGGAAATTGTTCTGAGTCCCCCTCCTTAAAGGGTAAATTATCATGTTAACAATTTAATAATGCATTGCATTTAAACAGCACTTTTCATACACACAAGGCGATAACAGTAGCCTACTGGTCCTACCAGGCTGGACATGCAGTCTACCAAAAATATGTATTCCCCTTTATAATGCACAGATGATGGCCTAACATTAAGTATTTAATTTTAATTTTGTGTATACTTCACATCAGGACTAATAACAGGGGTGAATATGGAGAAGTTTCTATTTTCTAAGCAATTATTTCAGACTTTATTTTCAACCTGCCATAAAACGCATCCCCCCTTTATTATGCACCGATGATGGCCTAAGTATTTAATTTTGTGTATACTTCACAGGACTAATAACAGGGGTGAATGTAGAGAAGTTTGTTGTTTCCTAGCAAAAGTTATAGTGGGATACAAAATACAAACTGGGATCCAGAGAATGTCTAGTACACAAGAGCTTCTACTGTTCATTAAGCCTTACAGAGAAGTGTTGCATCAAAGAATGTCCTGTAACTAACAGTAGGGTTTTTTTGTGTAATGTAATTTAATAAAACTATAACGAAGTTATAGTTACTGAAACAAATAACTGTAAGTTACTAAAACATACTTTATATACTAAACAAGACATTTTGAAAGCTTGAATTTTGCCTTTGTCTCTTTTGTCCCGGATTGAATGTACCCCTCTGACAAAACAACTGGCCCCAGCCTGCCCCCCTCAATAAAATGGGTCTAGAACCGCCACTGCTGTGCAGCAGGCTATTTGCATGAATTGTGTTTGCTTCTGTCAGATTACGGGGTTGTTGTTGGGAAGTCGCTTAAACGCGTGACAATGTGTGGAGCTCTGAAGCTGAAGTGCTATAATTATTTCCATGACTATTCGGCTTATTGATGGTTGTGACGACCACAATCATCAGCATTGCTGCCTTTGTCCTGTGGCAAATAAACAAAAGCGTCATCATCAGCTTCAGTTTAGCTGAAAACGAATTACTGTGTAAAGTCAGTGGTGAGATGACGTCCCTCACCAACTCGCTGACAGAGATTATGCCCGCGCTGTCCGACCCCGTCAGAATTCTTCCTCTCCTCTACGCATGTCTCTGTCTCCACAGCGCCATCACAAGCCCTACAGGCAGCTCCTAACCACTTGAGAGACCTCAGGAGCTCTCTTAAATAACTGGGAGAGTAAGAGTGATTCTTAGCTTTAAGAAATTTGATAACTTGCTTTTATTCTTAAGTTTAAATGTAGGAGTAAATTTCATGAATTCTCAGCACTTAAGACTAAATGGCACTTTGAGAAGCTCGGTAAATACCGGCCCTGATCCACAGAGGGTGCATAAAGCGCCGGATATTCTGTGTTGGTCGTCCTGTGTACGTTTTAATAGTTTGTTTTTTCGTTTGAACCACAAAACGAACAAACTACAAGAATCCGAGGTTTTCACCTGATCAACAATCAATTTGCTGAGGCCCAGCAGGTCTTCTGGCTGGCAGCTTTTATGCACAGTTAGCTTAAAATTTTTTAAGGTTTCTCTCATCTAGACCTATGTATTTTTTGAATAATATATACATAAATGCCAATTTGTTTTTACTCTTTGGGGGAGGAGCTGCTCTCATAAAACACAGGAGGCCTACCTCAGATTAATCCTTCAGTATTTCCCCTGTGAATGGCTGAATGTTGTTAAAACATTTTTATAACTGTTTAACACCAATTCATGAAGGGAGGAATTGCTTGGTCAGGTCAAAGTTTAACTAAAAAGACCAAATAGTCTTTTTTAACTTTGTTTGTATTTGTTAGCATACAATATCTGACAGAACATTTTAAACATGGCCTCACAGACCTGACTGATGTCCAGAGAAGACATTCTCAGCGCTGACAGCCTGTTTTTAATGATTTAATTATGTTTTTGGACTTTCTTTTGAGGACCTTGTAAATGTTTTTACCTTATGGCTTCACAGTAAAGGTTCTGCAGCCATAGATTGTACATTCAGCACCAATAAAAGTATGTATGTGCTATATATGTTGAATAAATTATGTATGGAAAGACTTGTATGGATTCTCTTCACTTGCATGACACAATGGGAGTGTTGTTTTATACACACTGGGATGTGTATGGAGAAGAAAGATTCACATAGTATATAGCACACTGGTAAATCATTCTTTTGGCCAGATGGCCTACATAAGGACATTTCTGATGTGAGTTTGTTGTCAGAGCTGTTAAGAAGCTGACAGCAGTGTTAGAAGCAGGTTAGACCAGAAGGGCATGCAGGTTTAACTCTGGGCTGAGGGTGAATGATGAACATGATAACTAGGCTGCAAATAAAACATAAATATAAAAAACCACATGAAATGAACAATAATAAATACATCTGTATCAGGAATTTGGACTCAAAACATTTAATAAAGACACAAACCAGGCCTTCATTTAAATCCTGCCACCTGCTGGTAGAAAGGGGAAACAGCGGAAACCACATTAAATATGAATTTAATATTAAAAATATAGCGCTGACAGTAACAACTCTGCACACACAATCATTTCTTAGGTTAAATATATTAGCCTACCAACTGTATTGCACCAAACAATGCGCTTAAAAAATGTGACTCTTGCTGTTTGAATAAATGTGCAATATTATAGTGCATGTAATAACTAACGTATTTCTCTCGGTCCAGGTTTATTTATTTATTTTCATCTAACATCACCCTGGTATAACGTTAGTGCTGCATAATGTTACAGAATGACCCTTCTACATGCTTGGCTTTTATTTTAATATATTTAGGCTACTATTACTTCCGGGTCACCTGGCCCACCTGTCATTCTTTTCTTAATGTCTTTCTTTTTATATACAGTCTATGGTCTTTCTTGAAACGGAGAAATGAAAAAAGGAATTTCAAAAAAACTAAATCATACCAGACCGGTTTTCCTGTTTATTCGTTTTGTGGTTCAAACGAAAAAATAAACTATCAAAACGTACACGGAGCTGTGTTTCATTATGTGATGCAGGGCAGTATTGCTATCGCTGAGGATCCAAACCCGGCAAGCCTGCAGCAGGATGACAGAGTGTGCCTTGCTTCGCGGCTGCAGGCAGAGATGGCGTCCTGATGCCGGTGAATAAGCAGAAAACAGAGCAGAGGGAGGGGAAAGAGATGCGGGCAGCGGAAGATGACAAGCTGTATCATTTAGAGCATCACATGGCATGTAGAGGACTTTCTCTGCTGATGATGACAGCGCCTTGAGAACATTTAAGGCTCTTTATAGTTCTTTTTTAGGCTGCATGAGATTTGAAGCATCAGTGTGATTCCTCGGAGCGGAGGAGGTGGGGGATTCTCCCTCCGGCGGCATTTGACGCAGGGAGAAGAAGGCAGAGGGAGAGAGGGGCGATGGCTGCCGGTGGAGCTGGATGCGGGGACACGGTGGAGCAGTGCCGGGCCGAGGTGGAGCGCTTGACCCGGGAGCTGGCGGAGGCCAACCGCGAGAAGATCCGGGCAGCGGAGTGCGGGCTGGTGGTTTTGGAGGAGAACCAGAGCCTGAAGCAGCAGTACGCCGATTTGGAGGCCGAACAGGAGGCGCTGAGACTGGAGCTGGATCAGCTGCAGGAGGTGTGCTCAGCAGAGTTATGACTCCTAAAAAGTAAAGCACTAGAAGTTATGACTCATAAGAAGTAGGTTATTGTTGTTAATGGCGCCTTGGAATAATTAATAATAATAATAATAATAATAGGCTAGCTATTTGCCGTTCATTCGAACTACTTCATAGATTAATGGAAAATAATTTGTGATGATTGATAGGCTACACCACTTTCTTTTGTTAATAGCCTATGACTCCGTGTGTTGTCATTTGACTCATTAGGCTACAGTTACAGCTCACAGCAGGCCAAGCTCATACTAACATGTCTCTAGGCCACTAGCCTATGACTTTTCAAATAGGCCCAAATGCAACTTTCAATGGACGTTAATTTTCGTCAGGAAAATAGCTAGGAAAACTGTCAAATTAACTTTACCAATCTGTTTTATTTCTTCCATTGTTTTTAAATGCTGATATTTTGACTTTTTGAAAGTTTTATTATTTAGCCTCTAAATTAAGGACTTTTTATCTTGCTTTATCTTAATGTATATTGTTTTTATAACCGATAGATTTTTAGAGCTTTTAACTTTAATATTCAGGAGAACGAATGAATGAATAAACTAGGGAGATACTAAGAAATATAGCCTCAAGTCGTGAAAAATGCATAATTTGACATTTTCAAAGGAGTAGAACAAATGCAGATGACTTTGAATTTTGAATTATGACTTTGAGATAATTGCCTAAAAGCAGACTTGATTTTTACAGCATCATCTTGAGGTCAGTGAGTGTCAGTACCTGACTACTACTGGGTGAATACCCCCCTCCAAATTTTGTGTTTTAAAGTTTAAGCTACACAGACACTTTTGTGTAGCACGGGATCCAAATAAAATAGGGAACTTCAAATAACTATGATCTGAAGGCCTCGTTGTTGGGAAGTCGGACTTGGTCATGAGGGGATGTGAACCCTGGAACTTCAGATCCCTTGAGTAGGTGAACTCCATGCCCAAGAGGGTTAAGGCAAGTTCTGGAAAATATTGACACTTTGGGCCCAATGTGGACATTTTCACTTAGGGGTGTACTCACTTTTGTTGCCAGCGGTTTAGACATTAATGGCTGTGTGATGCGTTATTTTGATGGGACAGCAAATTTATACTGTTATACTAGCTGTACACTCACTACTTTACATTGTAGCAAAGTGTCATTTCTTCAGTGTTGTCACATTTGTGAGGGGTGTAATCACTTTTGTGAGATACTGTATGTAGCTGGCCCACCCTATGCAGCTGTAACAGTTTCATCTCTTGTCGGAAGGCTGTCTACAAGGATTAGGAGTGTGTTCATGAGAAGTTTTGACCATTCTTCTTGAAGCGCATATGTGAGGTTAGACACAGATGTTGGACGAGAAGCCCTGGCTCGCAGTCTCCGCTGTAATTCATCCCAAAGATGTTCTGTCGGGTTGGGGTAGGGACTCTGTGCAGGCCAGTCAAGTTCCTCCACACCAAACTCGCTCATCCATGTCTTTATGGACCTTGCTTTGTACACTGGTGCACAATCATGTTGGAACAGTGAAAACGTCCCCACTGCTCTAGTGTCCAGGGGTGGCGTGCTTTACAGCACTGCATATGACACTTTGCATTGCACTTGGTGATGTAAGGCTTGTATGCAGCTGCTCGGCCAAGAAAACCCATTCAAGGTGTACTCACTTTTGTGAGTCATTGTACTAAACCCTATGGAACCCTACAGGATGTCATTAACCTTCATGTTCATGTAAAGGCAGGCGACCTAAAACCTTTGGCAATAAAGTGTAACAGTAGATGTGCTGAAAAACATTTCAGCTCTGTAGGACGTACAGGTGATTTTCTTGGATTTTTTGAAGTTTGGAATGAAAAATGTCATTCATTTCTTGTAATAAGCCATGCCCACTTTTTTATACATTAACTGAGTAGTGACCCTAGATTGTACAAACATGAATTTTGTATGAATCTAAACAGCGAATTACAAGGTATAAACTTTTCGCCTGTGTAGTGCTCCCTTAGTGGAAGCACTGCTCAGGACTGCTCAGCGAAGCTCGGACCAAGCATCTGGCAGAGGGTCCAAGTTTGCATACAATAGCTTAAGCCAATTTCGATTTACGGGTATTTATGTAAAATTGTACATAAAGACACAAAAGTAAAAATTTATGAAAAAAGAACTTTTATATCAAAATTCTTTTCATGACTTTTGATCAGCGACACCCGTAGAAGATCCTGCCAAAGTTTCAGGTCGATTGGTTTAAGACAAAAGTGATAAAAACAAAGATGCAGATGAATCCAGAGATTAAAATGATGAAAAATTAAATTTCTATTACAAAGTATTAGATTTCGTTTACAAAGGTCTTAAATCTTTTCTTGTCCTTTCATAGGATTAAATAAATGCCCTAACATCATAAATTTTAAAATCATCATAAAAGTTTTTGTGTGTGTGACTTTACAATTTACTCCGTTCAGAGCATAGACTATATAAAAAGTTTTGAGGTACAGACAGTAAAGGTGATGTTGCTATAGACTAAATGAAAAATGGTACAGATATTTATAGTAGTGTTAATGGTAACAGTCGTAATGTTAATGATTTATAATAACAATAATAACAATAGGACTAGTAACAATAGTTGTTGTAGCAGAGGGTGCCGAGCAGGAACACGGGGGCAGCAGGTGACCCGCAGCCACAGATCCAGACTCCACAGCTCCAGAGCCAGAAAACCTGCAGGAAGTGATAGGAGGAGAGAGGAGAGGGACGAGAAAGCACAAGACTACCAGAAAGGGGAGAAGTTGTGTTAGTAACATGCAATAATGGGATGAGGTTGCATACAGAGGGAGAGAAAGTAGAGGAGAGAGGAGCTCAGTGCATCATAGGAAATCCCCCGGCAGTCTAGGCCTATAGCAGCATAACTAAGGGATGGTTCAGGACTCACCTGAGCCAGCCCTAACTATAAGCTTTATCAAAGAGGAAAGTCTTAAGCCTACTCTTAAATGTGGAGATGGTGTCTGCCTCCTGAACCCAAACTGGAACCTGGTTCCACAGGAGAGGAGCTTGATAGCTGAACGCTCTGGCTCCAAGTCTACTTTTGGAGACTCTAGGAACCACAAGTAACCCTGCATTCTGGGAGCGCAGTGCTCTGGTGGGGTAGTAAGGTACTATGAGCTCTTTAAGATAAGATGGTGCCTGACCATTAAGAGCTTTGTAGGTGAGAAGAATGATTTTAAATTCTATTCTGGGTTTTACTGGAAGCCAATGCAAAGAAGCTAAAACAGGAGAAATGTGATCTGTTTTCCTGGTTCCTGTTAGAACACGTGCTGCAGCATTCTGGATCAGCTGAAGAGTCTTAACGGACTTTTTCGAGCAGCCTGATAATAAGGAATTGCAGTAATCCAGCCTAGAAGTAACAAATGCATGGACTAGTTTTTCTGCATCATTTTTAGACAGGATGTTCCTGATTTTCGCAATATTACGTAGGTGGAAAAAGGCGGTCCTTGAAATTTGCTTAATGTGAGACTTAAACGACATGTCCTGATCAAAGATAACTCCAAGATTCCTCACAGTGGTGCTGGAGGCCAGGGCGTTGCCATCCAGGGAAACTATATCTTTAGATAATGCGTCACGGAGGTGCTTAGGCCCCAGAGCAATAACTTCAGTTTTATCTGAGTTTAACATTAGAAAATTACAGGTCATCCAGGTTTTAACATCCTGAAGGCACATTTGAAGTTTAGCTAACTGATGAGTTTCATCTGGCTTGATCGATAGATATAACTGAGTATCATCTGCATAACAATGAAAGCTTATGGAATGTTTCCTGATAATATTGCCTAAGGGAAGCATATATAAAGTGAAGAGGATTGGTCCGAGGACAGATCTTTGAGGAACTCCATGAGTAACTTTGGCGTGCATGGAGGACTCATCGTTAACATGTACAAACTGAAATCGATCTGATAAATAGGACTTAAACCAGCTTAGAGCGATTCCTTTAATGCCAATGAAATGTTCCAGTCTCTGCAATAGGATCTGATGGTCAATGGTATCAAATGCAGCACTAAGATCTAATAAAACCAGTACAGAGACAAGTCCTTTGTCTGATGCAATAAGGAGGTCGTTAGTAATTTTCACCAGTGCTGTCTCTGTGCTATGATGAGCTCTAAATCCTGACTGAAAATCCTCAAATAAACTATTGCTCTGTAGAAAGTCACACAGCTGTTTAGCAACTGTTTTCTCCAGAACCTTAGAGAGAAATGGAAGGTTAGATATAGGTCTATAGTTGGCTAAAACATCCGGATCAAGTTTGGGCTTTTTCAGAAGAGGTTTAATTACAGCTACTTTAAAGTACTGTGGTACATAGCCTGTTGATAAAGATAGATTGATCATATCTAGTATAGAGGTGCTGACTAAGGGTAAAACATCTTTAAGCAGCCTAGTCGGGATGGGGTCTAAGAGGCAGGTTGATGGTTTAGATGAAGAAATTATTGAAGTTAGTTGGTAAAGATTGAGTGAAGCAAAACAGTCTAAACATGTATCTGGTTCTACAGCTGTTTCTAAGGTTCCTGAGTTAAGAGATAAGTCGGTGCCAGTTGAGGGCAGGTCTTGGTGAATTTTGTTTCTAATAGTTAGAATTTTATCATTAAAGAAGCTCATGAAGTCGTAACTACTGAGAGCTATGGGAATACTTGGCTCAATAGAGCTGTGACTCTCTGTCAGCCTGGCTACAGTGCTGAAAAGAAACTTGGGGTTGTTCCTATTTTCCTCTATTAATGACGAGTAGTACGCTGCTCTGGCATTACGGAGGGCCTTCCTATAAGTTTTAAGACTATCTTGCCAAATTAAACGAGAATTATCGAGAAAATCTCAAGTTTCCGCGATATTTGCTTTAATTTGCGAGTTTCAGTATTATACCATGGAGCTAACCGTCTTTGTTTTAGTATTTTCTTTTTTAGAGGGGCTACAGAGTCGAGTGTCATTCGCAGCGAGCCTGCAGCACTATCAACAAGATGATCGATTTGGGAGGGACTGA